TAACACTTTTCAGTTTTGTAATGGAGGAAGTAAGCACAGTAATAGATGGAAGTGATCCTTTATGTGTGTGTACTTCCGTTTGAAGAAAGTCTCCTTGATTTCTGACCCTTTTAAAAATCTAAAAGAGCTTCTGGTTGGTCAGTGTTGAAGAATGCTAGCAGGCCTCCGTACCTCTGAGGGGAGTCCCCTGTTGAGTATCCTTAGTTTCTGGTGCATCCTTTGCCATCCTATGAATTTAAATAAGTGCTCATTTTCAGTCCTTGGAGGAAGAGCTAATCTGAAGGCTAGGGAATCGAGATTTCATTCTGAAATTTTAGACCTAGATAAGAAACTCTTGTATTGTTAGCAGTAATTGCATAAAAATGGTTGACATTCAGAAAATGTGGTTATGATCAAGTGACGCTTTGAGTAGCTCTCTGTAAATGATAAGCTTTCCTAGTGATTTCATGTTCTAGACATGAGTTCACAGGGTCCACTCATTATTTCACATTAACATTTGGATTATCCTTGTATCTGAAGAATTTTCTCCAGTGTTCTCGATATACATGTAGATAGGAAATATAATGGTGATGCCATTATGTTGTTGAAAGAAGGGTAAAATCTAACCAGTCACTAGACTTGACTAGTTATAATTGTGTAGTAAGGTAGCTTTATGAATTTGTTCATAGTTTACATCAGTTCAGATTTTGTATTATCTGCAACTTAAATTTTAAAAAGGAAGCATTCAGACTTTGTGTTTTTCTGTAATGTTTCTTCCCTTGGCATAATATGATTTCTAAGTGATTTTGCTTCAAAGAATGCTTAGATCCAAGTGATTCCTCTTTAAAGCCAAAAGAAAAATTCCAAGAGCAGTCCTCGAAGGAGTCAGAGGAAAATACTAAGCAATTCCTGTTTGTCAGTGCTAATAATGTATCTATTACTAGAATGCCCCTCCCCCCAAATAAAGATACTTTTCCTGTTGGATTTTTTCCTGTAACTAAAGTTAAATGATTGACAATAGAAGATTGTTAGTCTTGCTTGATGATGAAGTCATTGGTTACTCTCATATATAGAAGTGCATTGTTTTTGTAATTTAGTGAACTGTGTCTGTTACTGTTGAGATAGGTCTCAACTTTTGATCACATATAACTCTAAATACTCCCCAAATTTTACTTGTGAATTTTCATTTTTATATTGTGAATGTGCTAGTAAGTGCATCAACTATAATGAACTCTGTACCCGTTTTTAAGATCAGCTGATAATAAACGAATACTAAGATAAAGGACCAAAAAAAAAAAAAAAGACTTATAGATGGCAGGCATGAATGTATATTTATAAACACATAAGATTTCTATGAACTTTTTTTTGCAATTAATGTTTGTGGACTGTCATAAAGAAGAGCTCTTTGAGGTAAGGCAAGACTATTTTAAAGAAACTTTAATATTCATTAAATTCAAAGTATTCATTTCCCAAAAAGGTGAGGGTTTGCCGTATAGTTCAGTAGTTCCTTCCAGTTCCACAGTCCTGTTGAAGCAGCACCTCTGCCATGTGCAAAACAGCCATATATATGTGTGTGTGTACACACACACACACACACACACACACTGTATGTATGAGAATATCTCCTCTGCTTTGAAAGTTACCTAATCACAAGATACTTTTGAGAGCCTGGGACTACAGGAATTCTCTGGTCTTCAGCATGTTGATAGAATGAGTTAATGTTAAAAGTCTTTATAGAGAAGTTTAAGAGCAGTTCCTGTAATTCAGTATGGACTGGACAACTATGAACCAACCACTATGGTGGCTGTTGACACATTATGACCAAATGGTGACCTCATTACCACATTAACTTACTAGCTAAACCTTTGCTCTCTAGTAATAACAGGCTCCAATTGCTAAATATATTTATTGCAGTTTGAGTTCAGCTGATAGTCTTAAGTATTGTGCATAAGACTTGTAACCAGTAAGAGTAATGTAGTAGTACTAGTTTTAAAGAATGTGTATCAAGATTGTTGCATTTATCTGGTGCCTATTTGCTTTTACCTTATAAGAAACATTTAAACATACTATATGCCTCAGCATGTTTGTTTATAGATTCATCAGTCACTTCATAAAGAGTGGGGTGGTTTTTCCTTTTCCCAGATCAGGCAAGAATAAGAGAACATATTCTTCTCTAAAAAGTGGTAGTGACTGCCATGTGGTTCAGCTTTTCATCCCAAAAGCTGATAGCAAGGACCTCTCCACCTTGAGGCAGGCCTCATTTTTGGCAGCTGTATTAAGGTTTAGCCTGAATATCGAAGGTCCCTCCCTACCTACTCAGATTTTTCTAGTTGTGATGCCATGGTTCCTAGCACCACATTGAGTTCCACCTTCACAGAGGCAAAAATTTGGGTTTACTATTTCAAGAGTCTAATAGGCCATTTTCCTTATTTTAATGTAGACTCAGCTAAACGGATACTGCACGAGGGATAGTAAACTAGACATATAGATGTAGGTGCTTCTGGAATGTGTTAAACAATCTGTTAAGAGAAATGGATCTTGACTTCTCCAGGTGACAATGGAATTTTTATTGCTAAAACATACTGTGCCAATATTATAACTGACTTTCTCCAACACTATTGCGATCTTAGATTTAATAACTTTAACCTTTTTTAAAGTGAAAGCATTCAGGGAAATTTTATGCTTTGATTACTGTTGAATGTTTCACATTTTAAATTACAAGGCAGTTGAATACTTGTGGTTTCTCTTGATGTTTAAACTTAAGGAAACTGATTAAGCAATCTTCTAAATGGGCCTATCATTTTCACAATATTCTCTAGAATCTTTAGGGTAGAAGTCATGCTTAAAAATAGTTGCTTTTAAATCAAGTGCTATATTCAGCTTCAAATTTCCCTCTTGCCCTTATGAAAAGCAAAATTTTAAACTCTCACCTCCTGTTATGTTTTTAAACACCCTCAAGGTTAGACCATCTTTCTCGTGAGAAAGAGTAGCAGTGAAGAAAATTGGCATTTTAAATTAGATTAAGTAGGTGAATCATGTTTCAAATTTACTAGTTTTTCTTCCTGTTAGGGTTGCCTTAAATTTTGTGGTATATTCTAAAAATATTGGTTATAATAGGTACTCCTTAAAATGGTTTGTAGCTAAATGTCTAAGCTAGCAGTGTATTTTTAAAACGTTTTGGTCACAGATTGATGGTACACCTTGTATTTAGCAGATTTGTTTGCATGATGATAAAATTTCCTGAGTCTTTTTTCTTAAATCCAATTACTGATCCTGTAAAAGTTATAATGCAGCATCATGAAAAAATTGGTTTCGTGTTTCAACTGGTGTTAAGTGTTCTCAACAAAATCTTACATATTTATTTTTTAATTAATGGAACTTCAGTGATACTTGGTAGATATTTCAAGCCTTTTGTCTTTTATACAATGGTGCTCTATTCTGTTGTTTTCGAAGAAGCATCTGAACACTTAGATTTGCATATTCTTATCCAAAAGCATCCACAGAAGTGGGTTTTTAAAGCTGATTAAAATGTTTTTCTTCACCTACAGTGGTTTCTATAAACATGTAGCCAATTGACTCTGAAGGTCAGTAGTATGACTATGGGAAAGGTGAACATAGATTAAAGCTCTTATAAAAGCTTTAAAGCAAACTATGGACTTGTACCGTGACTTAATAGTATTGGTTCTTTCTTGCACAATGATTCATTCCTTTATTTGTACAGTAGCTCTGTGAAATGTTGCTGTGAATTGATATTGTAATCAATAAAGTGCTTTTAACCAGATTTCATGTAGCAGGCTTTAATTTTTAAAATCACATTATAAATGTGAAGTAAGCATATTCTTTACCAACTGTGAATGCTATCTACTGTTAAAAGGCTACAACATTATTTACTGCTTTCGTTTCATCACCACATCCTTGGAGAACGAGGAAACTTCTCTTGGCCAGATGCGTCAGCCAGTCTACCTAAGATACCTACCACAAACATTAAAACTCACTGTCAGTATAAATGCTACATTTATCAACTATCAGGCAAATATTTTATTTTCACCTTGCATACTTATAAAAACGTAGTTTTGTAAAAAGGTTATACAAAGTTATAGTCCTGCAAACTTAATCTCCAGGCATCAAGGCTGGGTGTCCTTATTTTAGTGTTCAACATTCATGCATTTTCAAACTTGATCAAGGTGGTGGAACTGCATTCAACTGGTGATGGAAAACTTCCTAGAGATTTACTATGAACCACTATTCCAGCAGTCCACACTTTAGTGAGCATGAGGATCACCTGGAGGGCTTGTTCAATTCAGATGGTTGGTTCCCAAACACTCCTGGATGCAGTGGGTCTTGGTGAGAACCTGCAATATGCACTTGTCAGAAGTTCACAAGTGATGTACACTTAATCCAGGGACCAGACTTTGACAGCCACTGTACTATTACTAATGAGGTGATACCAAACCACTACACCATTTCAAAAGTTCAAGTGCTTTCATGTAAAGATGAAGGTCTTGAACTCCTAAGTTAGCAGTACCCAGTCTCAGACATTAGTTTCACGTGGCAGTTGCTACCTAATCCCGGTTGTTGGCAGCTTGCACTATATTTTGGTTATAAAGCAACAAAAGCTACAAACTAGTAGATGGATTTTGATACTGCATCATAGTGTCTGATCTGCATAAAAACATATTTTTGAAAGGCTTCTATGACTTAAATGTTTTCTCCTTAAAATATCCTGAAAAAAGTGCTGCACCTGCTGTGAAAAGACTGAGTAGCATCCAGTAGCCTTAAATTAAGGCACAAAAAAAGGAAACAGTATTAAGGATAAAAAAGCCTAACGTATTATCCCTCTATGGAAAAGCAGACACTATGCTTGGCCAAATGCACTGTTGTCATGCATCTAACAACCACCTAGATGCTGTTACTTTGGTGATCCTCAAGACTACACTTTGTGTAGCAAAGCTCTAGAATGCCATTTTTTGGTGTTTCCATATATATTTCAATTAGTTTTTACACAGAAACAGACACAGTACTTGAACTCATGAACATTTCATTAAGTTAAGAAATACAATATTAACAGTGCCCTGGCAAATTCATACAATTACATAAAAGTAAAAGCCACCTGGGGGGACAATCCAGCAGTATCCTTGGCGAATATCTTCTGAAGAATAGCATTTGTACAAGACCATAACCACCAACAATTCAGAGCACCCATATCTTTGGCTATTTTTGTCAGTTCAAACTTTATTCCTAAAACTGAGCTAGAAAGGTTTCCTTGCTGTAATCATAGCTGAAGCAGAAAATGTTTCTTTAGAAACAGATCAAGCAACTATTTATTCAGACCCAGATACTTTTTTATAAGAGACTTTATAATAACAAATCCTTATACTTTTACATCAGTTTTAATGGGAAAAAAGAGGGAGTAAAAACAGTATATTTATTAGTGGTTTACTTACCAGCCAGGATGGCAAAAGTGATTGCAACTTGCATAAACAATACACTCAAGAACATTCCACCACACTCCTCGATAGAGCAATGAAGTTTATGAAACAAAAACAAATGACGATACCCTTTAAGGTAGGCATCAAAAATTAGTTTTGAGAAAAGATGAAAGGAGCATTCTCTAACTCCTGGATGCCAGGAAGCAGAGTTTTTCAGAATCAAAAACAAAGAGAGCCCTAATTAAGAACGAGGCCCCACCCCTCAGGGGTCACATAGTTGGTTCTGTTGCTTTTAACTAATTCATCATTTTTAACACAATTTAGCCTTTGCCCAAATTTAAAACTAAGAAGATATCATAACACTCTTCAGAAATGCAAACACCCTGAGATAGATCATTACCAGAATCTATACAAGGATCTGCTATTTAGGTACAGTTAGTATAATTCACATTTAAAGTCATTTCATTAAAAAAAAAAAAAAAAAAAAACTGTCCCACTCTTCCAAGTTCCATTTTCTCCTATGATCACCAAAGCAATCTGTTAAGATTTTTCTTCATTGCTTGAATGTAGAAACTGCTTAGTAAAATTCTCCAGCTCATTTTCAAGTTGAACGGCTTTATTTCTAATTTAAAAAAATGAATAAAATACCAATCTGATTATCATAAAGGCCAATAAAAAATGCATTCCATCCAATCTTAAAATCATTAGTCAGCTAGTGCTGCATTTATTTGAAATGAGATTAAGCTATTATCAACCTTCTAAGAATATGTATATATGCTATTATACTCTGCTGTAAACACAGAACCCAATGTCCAGAACTTTAAAAAGGTACATGGGGATAAAACCAAAACCTTAAAAATGAAAATCGTAACAGACAATGGAATCCTATTACCTTCTTGGGAGTTATATCCTACGTCACACACAGTCATAATTGTCCCTGAATTCCCTTTTAAGTTAAGCATAAAGTATAGAACAACTGGTTTTGTGTATTTATAAAGCAGCTGTCAGATGTCAAAGGACCATGGTATTCCAAGAGTTTTTTAACACCAGAATACTTGACAAAGCCAAATACCCTAACAAGAGGAAAACAGGTACAAAGATCATGTCTCCCATTCTCCTACCATGCCAGCGTACACACACATACTTGAATGAGCTTCTCTCTTTTCTCTTGGTCTTGTACTGTTGCTGGGTACACATGGCGGGGGTCATATAAGTTAATGTACATACAGACTCCTCTGTATGCTTCTTCAGGCAACTCTCCTGAAGCATTAAGTGTTTTACCTGAATTGCTGAGCCTAATCTAGTAACAATGGAGTTTCTAAAAATCATGGTATTTATTATTCCTGTTAGACAAAGGATTAGCAGCTCAAAGCTATTCATACTCACTCAAGTCAGTCCTGCCAAAATCAAAAGGCTAAAGTGCCAATAATATCATTTACATTTTACTCCAACAAGACAAAACACTACTAAAAACAATCTAAGTAAATAATTCTACTAGGTATAATTTCAATATATTTGAAAGGCTGTATTTGAGATGATTTAACTTAAAACATGATTGAATAAATGAAATTTACTTGGGTGTGTTTGTATGGATAAGGAAGTCGGGGTCTAAACAACAGGCAGTCGTCTTTTCCAGACACAATGAAATTGAGGAGTGATGACAATGTCACTGCAGATCAGATTAAGATACCATGGTAGACCCCACTTCAGTTGTTTTAGATGTCCCCAAATTCAGCTCACAAGGATAGCCTCTACAATTTGAAGACACTGCAAGCTGCTCTCACATGGGCAACTGCATGTAGCACATACCCTGGAATTAAATGATGGTTAATGGTACTGGTAGGTGAGCCAGCTAATGGGGCAAAAGCTGGAAGTTAGGACCTACCAAAGTAGTCACGTCATGGTGACACTTCTGGTCAGGTCCCCAAAGGCAAACTTTACTTAGACCCCACAGAATCCATGATAAATCCTACTATACCAGAACTGCATGTATTAGGATATCTTGTTTTACTTGCATTGCTTTAAATTTAAGCATACCCAACCGTCCCTCAGTGAAAATTGAAGTTAAGGGTCTTGAATTCAGGGGACTAAAAACTTGCACTTTTGCCCCCAAAAGTGGCTCAGCTGGTTGAGTGTCTGACTCTTGGGTTTGACTCAGGTGACCTCATGGGTCCTGGGACTGAGCCCCACATCAGGCTCTGCGCTCGGTGGACTCTGCTTGAAGATTCTTGCTCTCTGCCCTTCCCTCAACTCACACAAGTGTGCAAATGCATGCCCTCTAAAATAAATCTAAAAAAAAAACAAACAAAAAAAAAAACCTCACACTTTTAATTAAAAACTTCTGCTCTGGGGATCCCTGGGTGGCGCAGCGGTTTAGCGCCTGCCTTTGGCCCAGGGTGCGATCCTGGAGACCCGGGATCGAATCGTCGGGCTCCCGGTGCATGGAGCCTGCTTCTCCCTCTGCCTATGTCTCTGCCTCTCTCTCTCTCTCTCTCTCTCTCTGTGTGTGTGTGTGTGACTATCATAAATAAATAAATAAATTAAAAAAATAAAAAAATAAAAAGTTTAAAAAAAAAAAAAAACTTCTGCTCTGAAAAGGAACTAATATGGCTTAAGAGTTTTAGATAAAGATCTGAAAGATTCCTTTTACTCTTTTAGATTTGCTTTTATTTGTTGAAATTAGCTTTCATTGAAAATGAAAAACATTCAGAATTAAATATGAAAAATAATAATTTAAGCCGATGCAGAAAGTTTTAATACAAATTCACAAGTAATGTTACATAATTATATTCAGGTAATGAGACCAATAAATATTCATATTATTGAGAAAAAAGGTTCAAATACCTTAAGAACTTTGAATTGTTTTGTATCTTCTCCAGTTGATCTATTTCTTTGGATAATCTAGCAATTTCTTCTTCCAGATGTCTTTGTGTAATATCAACTTGTTGGCACAGGCGAGCGAAAGTGGTTGCCATTTCCCTTAAAATAAAAAATTATTTTTTCCAGCAGTCATGAACGTCTTTTAAAATAAATGAAGCTTTAATTTAAAGCTTATATAGAAAGACTGCAAGTTTAAAGCATACCTAAAACAAGATATCAAAGAATATTACTATTAAGGAGGGTATGGCACTTGTAGGCTTATCACTTTGGGCTTAATTTCATCTGGCCTTAAGACAAATGCTCAACAGGCAGTATCAACCTCTAGAATATGGTTGTGAATATGACTAAGCTATAAAAAGGCAGAAGTTGGGTGTATTTCTTCAGAAGCACAGTAAGCCTTACGTGTCCCTTGCTTATAGAAATAACAATTACTGAGAACAGGTGAGAAAACTTCATGAGCTTATGTGACTCAGACAAAAAATACTTTAAATCATAGTAATACTGAACCATGTTTCTACAACCAAACCAATTTGTGTGCCAGTTAATATTATTAGCTTTGGTCAACATGTTATTTTTGCAACTGGGAGCATGCCTGATATAGATGTTTACCTCTGGAATATTTATGATTAACTGACATTTTTTTTGTAACTATTCTCCTGTGCATACACATCTTTCCCATGGTCTCTTTTTCTTTCCATGCTCAACCCATTCCACCAAATATCAGTATTACACAAATTAAGCATATTTTATTATTTTTGTATTTCATTAAATCAATATTTAGCTATTTTAACTGAGCAATTATTTTAGGCTGCTGCCATTAGGATGTAAAGTCCTCTAAGAAAGAGATCTCATTATCTATTTTTAGTTTCCTACAATCACCTCTAGCATAGTTATTGGCACATGGTAGACAATTAACAAATAATGATCAAATGAATGGAAAGCTTCATTAACCTTGTTTTACATATGTGACCTCAGCTGATTTCTTTGGGAAGTCTAGGTACCTCCATTAGAGAAAACATCTTTCTTAACATAAATAAATGAAAACTATTTAAGACAGGAGCTTAATAAGTATTTGGCAAATATTCTCCAATCTGTGCCCTCATTGTTTCCATTCCCTGCAACTCTAACCATGTTGATCTTGTGACTGAAAGCTGAATCTCCCTGCAATTCTTGTCTCCTTAGCCTAAACCATCCTATACACTACACCACTGCAGTTATTTGTTCTAGAGCAGGACTCTCCATCATCCAAGGTCCTGTTTTAGTGTTAGGTTTATATTTTAATTTACCCCCCACTACACCCAATATACAAATCTGCCACACTGAAATTTTCTATTTCTCAACACATTTCTTTCCCCCCTACTTCCTTTCTTTTGGTGTGTTTTCTCTGCCTACATCTTCAAATTCTGCACACTCAAAACCCATTCGGCTACCCTTCCTTGGAAGAAATCTTTTTTTTGACCCACTATCTTTCATGATTTAAGATTCTAGAGCTTCACGTTATGAGGCTTACTTACCACTTATGTTACTTCTTTTCACTTTTTTAAGATTTATTCATGAGAAAGAGAGAGAGGCAGAGACATAGGCAGAGAGCCCGATGTGGGACTCAATCCCAGGACCCCAGGATTATGACCTGAGACAAAGGCAGGATGCTCAACCATTTAGCCACCCAGGCGCATCCACTCTTCAGCTTTTATTGCAATTATGTACATGTTATCTCTTCCATTAAATCACAACAATCATCTTCAGCTCAAGAAACTTTTTAAATTCAGCTCTCAGCAGCAACCAAATATAGATTATTATGCATTGCCTTAACTGAAATCTAATATTTTTATTAAATCAACAAAACAAATTTTAAGATACATTAAAGAAACTAGTGTACTCCAGTAGTCATTATAATAAAATCCTCTTGAGTTCTAAAATAATTATGCCTTTAAACTTGTAAATGTGGTGGGGGCACCTGGGTGGCTCAGTTGGTTAAGCATCTGCATTCAGCTCAGGTCATGATCCAGGGTCCTAGGATTGAGCCCTGCATCAGGCTCCCTGCTCAGGGAGGAGTCTGTTTCACCCTCTACCTCTATGCCTCTCTGCTACTGCTCTCGCTCTCAAAAACAAAAAAAAACCTTAGGCTTGTAAATCTGGGCTGTGACAGTAAAAATAAACTACCATGATGCATTTTTGAGCCTTGTTTGGTTTTACTCTCTTTTTTCACCTTGGTGGTGATCACAAAATGTGTTCATATCACAAGAATATTGTGATAATTCTTTTGAGCTATGCTCATTTGTGCATTTTTTTACATATATGTCATACTTCAATAATGCTTAAAAAAAATCAACAAAGACACATCTTTCAACTTACTGTTGTACTTGATGGCTACAGTTTGCACTCGTGAAGCTAACAATCATCTGCAGTTTCTCAGTTGCATAGTTCACAAACTGCTGTTTAAAGGCTCTCTCCTTAGCACGTGTGGTCCAGGTCAGCCTCTCGTAAAGATACAGAGCTCCATACATACTTAATGAAACAGATATGAGTTTCCACCCTACAGTTTTCCAAATCTGTAAGATAAATTCACAGGTTACTTCAAGAAAGAATATCACCACTAGGGAGATTGTATGTTAAGGGATTTTAACAAACTTATCAGCTCCCTACAGATCTTTCAGTCAAATCCATTTTTTTTTTTTAAAAGATATTCTTTCTCCATGAGAAAATGTGAAGTTACTAGAAATCAACCAAGATGAAAAAAGAGTACATAAATATCAGGCAGGAACTTTCATAACCTGCCAGACATTTGCTAACTTGATATATCTCAAAAAGAGATGTGAATTTTTTTTTAGGTCAGAGATTTTAAAGTTTTTTTTTTTAAGTTTTTTTTTTAATTTTTATTTTATTTATGATAGTCACACAGAGAGAGAGAGAGGCAGAGACACGGCAGAGGGAGAAGCAGGCTCCATGCACTGGGAGCCCGACGTGGGATTCGATCCTGGGTCTCCAGGATCGCGCCCTGGGCCAAAGGCAGACGCCAAACCGGTGCGCCACCCAGGGATCCCTAGGTCAGAGATTTTAAAAACCAAACTAGATAACCCTATGTTGTTGATGAGGTGAAAACAAAAAAAATTAGCAGTTAAAAAGAACTACTACTAAAAAATAATCTTTAATATTTTAATGCAGATCCCTTTGTATTCAGAGAAGTCTAGATAAGGGACTTGAATCATCCTCGTTACTCCAAAGTACAAATATCATTTCTTTATAGGCTGTGAAGTGAAAGAAGGGAACATTGTTTTAAGGTGTAGCTAATTGGTGGTATTTTTTTTTTCTAAAGCATTCATTAAAAATTTATACTATGGCAATCACTTTGCAATATATGTATATGTATATCAAATCATTAACTTGCATGCCTGGAACTAATACAATGTTATGTCAATTATATTTCAATTTTAAAATAAATTTATATTTTTAAAAGCTTAAGATTAGACCTGTGCAACTCATCTTTATTCACTAATTTTAACCAACAACTTTTCATGTCATTTTACAGACTATTCTGGATATAAAAGTAAATACACCTTTCTTTTCATGATCTAGCAGACAGCTTTGCAAAAATTCCAATTTTAATTATACTAAAAAGGACTTCTTACCACTCCTCCAACAACAATAATGCCCATAGAAGTTCTAGATGTGAGAGAAGCCAATCCTGTTATTAAGGTAACCATGAGTTCTTCCTGTGAGGCACTGTCTGGTGTTGCTGGATTGGTCGGAGCAGTGGGAGTAGAGGCTAAAGATCTGGGGAGCTGATAAGGTTGGGGAAAAAAATTATTATTACAATTAAACTACAAATGGAATAGTTACATTTATAAAGTTCTATTGTATTTCTTCTATAATTACAGTAGTAAATCCATAAGAAGAATGACTCCAATGAGTTTACCATAAATATATGAAAAAAAATAAAAACGGTCTGAAAATTATTTTCTACAATCAATACTGGACCAGTGATATGATGAATAATGAATTTTCATACTATATAATTCCACCTATAACAGTAGGCCCTCAACTCTCAAGAGCAATTGAAACTGTATCTTAAAAATCTCAGACACATCGTTACAAAATTTTTTAAAAATTAAAATCTACACTTCAAAATACACTATAAGAAAATTGAGACAAGCCATAAACTAGAAAACATATCTGGAAATCATGTATCTGACAAAGGATTTGTATCTAGAGAATACATAAAGAACTCCTACAATAAGAAGCCAAATACCCAATTAAAAAATGGGCAAATGATCTGAAGACATTTCATAAAATACATAAATGGCCAATACAAGCACATGTAAAGATGTTCAAATCCATTAGTCATTAGGGAAACACAAATTGAAACTATATGAGGTAGTTCATCAAGTCCACTAAATAAAAAGGACAAAAACAAGTCTTGATGAGAATGTTGAGAAACAGAACCTTAATATACTGCTGGTGGGAATGTAAAATGAGGTAGCTGCTTTGGAAAACAGTTTGGCAGTTCCTCAGAAAGTTAACATGTAGTTATAGTGTGGGCCAGCAATTTCATTCCTAGGCATATACTCAAGAGAAATTAAAACAGATGTCCACATAAAAATAGTACATGAGGGATCCCTGGGTGGTGCAGCGGTTTGGCGCCTGCCTTTGGCCCAGGGCGCGATCCTGGGGACCCGGGATCGAATCCCACGTCGGGCTCCCGGTGCATGGAGCCTGTTTCACCCTCTGCCTATGTCTCTGCCTCTCTCTCTCACTGTGTGCCTATCATAAATAAATAAAAATTAAAAAAACAATAGTACATGAGTTCATAGCAGGGCAGCCCCGGTGGTGCAGCAGTTTAGCACTGCCTGGGCGTGCTCCTGGAGACCCTGAATCGAGTCCCACATCAGGCTATTTGCATGGTGCCTGCTTCTCCCTCTGCCTGTGTCTCTGCCTCTCTCTCGTGTCTCTATGAATAAATAAAATCTTTAAAAAGAAAAGAAAATAGCAGCATTTTTCATAATAGCCAAAAAGTAAAAATAACTCCAGTGTCCATCAACTGATGAATAAAATGTGTGATATCTATAATGGAATATTATTCACCTATCAAAAATGGGAGTATTGATATACATTACAACATTCATGTACCATGATGATGAACCTTGAACATACTATGCTAAGTGAAAGACGCCAGTCAAAAAAGGCCACATTTTTTTTATTATTCCTTTTATAGGAAATGTCCAGAAAGGGCAAAATACAGCAGTCACAGAAAGCTGACCAGCAGAGGGCTGGAGGTAGGAATGATGATTGACTGCAAATGGCCACAAGGGTACCATTTTGGGGTGACAGGTTCTAACTGGATTGTGGTGATGGCTTTATAACTCCATAGATTTTCTGAAAAATTGCTGATTTGAGAAATTCAAGTTTTCTCTAAATGCTTCCATTTCCTCTAGAGTCAAAACTTCAATTTTATTTGAAAACAAAAGCTTTTAAGGAAATGGAACACCTGGGTGGCTCAGGGTATGATCCCAGGGTCCTGGGATTGAGTCCTACTTCAGGCTCCCTGCAGGGAACCTGCTTCTCCCTCTACCTAGGTCTCTGCCTCTCTCTCTCATGAATAAATAAGTAAAATCTTAAAAAAAAAAAAAAAAAAAAAAACCTTTTAAGAAAAAAAAAGGTTCAAAACTGAATGTAGAACCACCTACAGAGACAGTGCTAAATGAAAACACTGGGACTACCTTTCCTTTTGCATTTATACCTAATTCAGAAATGGCTCTCCTTGATAGGTATTAGCTCATATATATGCAAATTGGACACAACTAGTTCTATTAGAGAAATCACCTAATAAGCAAGATAAAGAGAATCTCAACTGGTAGAATCAAAGATGCATAACTGTGCAGTAGAGCAATACTAATATCAAAATAAAAAGCTTATTCCCCCCCCCAAAAAAAATACCTGGAAGATAGGCTCTGATAATCCTAGCAGCACCCTCTGAGCATTCGTTGGGCCTAAGAAACGATGAACAAGGGAAGACCAGCCCAAGGAAAAGCGAAATACAATATCCTCTTGAAAATCTGAACATAACTTGTGACAATTTAGGTCATAGCTGAGATCAAATTTCTTGCAAGGAATCAGTGTATGTAGCTTATTTTGTATACCAGTTGGAAGTAATGGCTTCAAATTTTCTAAACAAAACCAAATTATGATAGTTAAGAAACAGTAAATATTTTACATTTTATAAAACACCTAAAGGAAAATAATCATTTCCCAAGGAAATAAATAAGAAACTACACATGAACTGGTAGACATAAACATTACCAATAATTTCTTGCTGGGATTGAAGCATTGAAGCGTTGACTTCATTGGTGCACCGATCAGCCAAATTTCTTCCCATACCATCTTCTATATGCTTATTTAATTCCTGTTAACATGGTACATGTACCCATTATTTTTTCTCTAGAACATGTACAAATTTTATAAAAACTTTAAAAATGTAGTAACACTAAACGATCTTATTCTGGGATGCCTGGGTGGCTCAAGTGGTTGAGCATCTGCCTGTGTGTGGCTCAAGGTGTGATCCCGGGGTCCTGGGATCGAGTCCTGCCATTGAGCTCCCTGCAGGGAGCCTGCTTCTCCCTCTGCCTGTGTCTCTGTCTCTGCCTCTCTGTCTCTCATGAATAAATAAAATCTTAAAAAAAAAATAAAAAATAAAATCTTATTCTAAGAGGATAACTTTTCTGTGTACTTTACATACAAGATAATTTACATTTATTACAAGAGTGCACAGGAGATTTAATAGTTCAATCATGTACTGGTTGCCATGAAGACACTAAAATGGCTAAATCACTAAATAAAAATGTAGAAAAAGTGAAGAAACTATCTGAGTCACTTTTAATGACAATTTAACTTACATTTTTATATACTTTCAATACGCTTGGAGTGGGATGAAACTCAGAACAAAATTCATCAACCAAAACAGACAGTCGACAAATTTCATCTGTCATTGCACATGAAACCTGAAAATATGAAGTTAAAAAAAAATTAAGATTACTAACTACTCAACCAAATTGTAAAAAACTTAACAAAATGTGGGTAACAGGGATGACATTTTTAGGATTATGAAAATATTTTCATTCTCAGAAATTTATTTAAAGATTTTATTTTTCAGTAATCCTACACCCAATGTGGGGCTCAATTCACAACCCAAGATCAGGAGTGGCATGCTCTGACCGAGCCAGCCCCTCAATTCCCAGAAATTTTAATCATACGGTCACCAACCCACCTTGTTTGCCACCTCTTCTGTAACCGCCCTGATTTTTTTCTTAACATCCAGTGTTAAAAGGTTCATCTGGTTTCGGATAAAGTCCAGTCTATCAATTTGATCTTCCCTCTCTTCCAATGAATAAACCCTATTGTAGTATGCAGAGTAATTAATTCTCAGGATATATTAAAGTCCCAAAGCAATTAAGCTAGGGCACTCACTTATGTACTGAATCATCTGTTAGCATGATACAGGGAAAAGAAAAAAATGAATCTTGTATTTCAACATCTAAAAGGATTCAAATAATATTTCTTTTATAAAATATTTCATAGATGATCAGACATAAACTACTTTGTCTCTCTGCCCATGTGACTCTGAATCCCCCAAAGAATTAAAAGGATTCTCCAAACACAGATACGAATTGTCACAATAAAAATATTGGCTTCATTTATCACATCTTCTTTGTGCTGTGTTTAGTTCCAATGTCCTGTATTTTTAAATTCAGTAATATTAAGGTCAATGGGTGGACCAAAAACTCACTTTGGCTACTATAATAAAGCAACTGAACTAGAGGAGGTATAAATGACAACACAATCTCATACAGAAATAGTGGACTGGGCCTGAGATCAGACTGAGTTCTTACTCTTGTGTTTCATATATTGGAAATGTTCTCATTTTGTATATGATGCATTCCAGCAAAAGTATCAAAATTGCCTAATTTTGTTGCCTACAGATTTAGGTATTTGTTCCCAGTAAGATTTTAATGCATTTAAAATCTCCAATTTCACGTCCTCTTAAACTTAATCTCTGATGCTTTATATCTTTCCCTTGATTGGCTTAAGCCCACTAACAGTTCAATTAAGGCTTAACATCATTACATGTGTCATATCTAATAACATTCTCATCTTTAAGTGTACCAAATCTGTGAAAACTACCCTTCAACGTTAGCAAATTCATGTATTTATTTTCATCTTTATAAGGCAATAAATGGAATAAGAGTGCAGGACAATGACACATGGGATAGTGCTTACCAAACTGACTTTCTGGCTTGCAGGTAATACCACCTTGTTTGTTTACCAGTTGACAAAAAACAAACACAACTGGCATCAAAGAGAGATTTCAAAGTATCAATGTATAAATATATGAAAAATGGGTCATAGGTTAAATTGAACAAAAAAGAGGGTCACCTCTTTTTCAGACTTCTTCAAAAAAATTCCACTTGAAGAAATGGTCCTTCCACTGCTTTAAAGATATTTTAAAGCTACAAAACATGTTAAAATCACAGCTCAGAATACTGAGATCCAAGGAATGTAAATGATGTATTTAAGGTTGTAGAATAAAGATTTATAATTTCAAATAGTCACTTAAAAATACGCAAGGTTGTTGACTTTAGTGTGAAAGTATTTTAAAAATAACAATTTAAAACCTTAGTCTAAGGAATTTATACTGACACAAACTGACATTTTTATTTTGCAATAAAATGAATTCATACCTTTTCTCTGCTGCTGCCACGTTTATTGAATCCATTATGCTTTTCACAGTATCTAGTATCTGTTTAGCTCTGATAGTGTGCTGTTCAAACTTTGTTTTCACTGCTGACTGCGAGATACACTCCTGCGAGGGGCCCAAGCCATAACACATTACTGTAATTCCATCCAACATTTTCAGGAATTTAAACACAAAAACTTGCTGTTTGTAATGATAACCAAAACATAAATAAGGACAGAAAATAAATGCATGATAAACACAACTTAAAATAAAGGTCAACAAAAAAACTACAAGAAATCAAAAGTAAAAAGGGCTTAACAGCAAGTTCATATCTTTTGTGTAATTTTACACAGTAATGTGCAATGGTTGTTTGACTATTATTTTTAAAAACAAATAGATACAGAGGGTACTGTTTTCATGTTAAAGGTTTCTCTGCTAAAATTACTAATTTTATCTGGACTGCCTTTAAGTTACTTCTGGTCTGTCTTGATTTTTCTCATGCTTACAAAACAGATAACCTAATGAAGTTCTTGACTGAGTTATACATTAGAATTCCACAGTTTTAAGAAATTAGCTGAATGATAGGATTCACATAAGGTTAAAAAAGACTTGTACATGTTAAAACTTGAACTTGAAAAATACTCTTTAGCAATGAACAACCTAAATAATATTTTAGTTTAGAAAAATATCTACAGCTATTTAAAAGATAATCCTGTTATTGGTCCTTGGTCTACAGTCTGCATACAGGTCTGAATGATGCCCTATCTCGTTTGTTTTACCTTCAAGCTAATTGTAGCTCATAAACCATTCACAGCTGTACAAATCAGTTTCATAACCAGTGTTTTTTTAATACAAAAGAATACATTAGAATGCATCACATATAGTAATGGATACATTTATAAATTGTTTCGATTTCAATATATGTCCATGCAACTTATTTAAAATATTGACTGTGAATTCATAGCTGAAAGTTCACAGAATTATTACATTAAAATTGTCCTTTCCCTCTTTGTAGTAAGTTAAATTCTGCACTGATATGACATCTAAAAACAAGTACAAGTGTTCATAAACAGAGAAAGGGCTATCTGGTCTTTGAACAATCAAAAAATGCTTCTCTGGGCCACAGCAGCAATAACTATAAGAGGTGTTTTGTAGGAAGCCACATTTATTCCCCGTGATGAATTTTTAAAAATTAGGGATGTATCCCAACTCTCCATGATTTCCATGAATTTATCTTCTTGAACCTCTTTTCACTGTAACCAGTATAAATTGTGGTAACTATCCTTTGTCACAATAAATGGCTTTCAGACTTTAAAAGGTATTCATTTAATACTATAGTATTTATTATCTTGAAATCGTTAGTATGTTACGTATTCAATACACTACTTACATATAACCTATGCTTAGCCTTCACAACTCTAAAATGATTATCTGTTCAATTTAGTTAAGTTAGAAAAAAACTTTTAAAATTTCTTTTGCCATTTTAGCTGTCCTCTGCAGTACTTTGAGGTATAAAAAATAAAGCAGATTTGCTTCTTTAGCTATAGGACATTATGAGAGTTATTCATTTAGTCAACAGTTCATAAAGCCTTAACTTTAGCCCATTATTTTCTTTCACTGCGTAGCTTAACTTTTTTTCATGGTTAAACTTATTTATACATCACTCAACATCACTAATCCTGAAAAGATCAGTTGTAGAAAAATACAGTAATTCCCTGTTCTGTATTTGCCTACAGAAAAACCACCAATAACTACACAATATTAAAGAATAAACTGCTTATTTTTAACAACCAAAAGCAAGCTCTGATTTCCTTTAAATAACTTTATCTCATAAACTGACAAATTAATCTCCATAAAAACAATAATAAAAGCATAAAAATATTTTTAAAAGAAAAGAGGTTAAAAGAAATTCTATGTTCCTCGATGAAGCAGATCTAGGTATCAGCAATGAAGACCCAAAATTTGTAGATAATAGCACAGTATTAGAGCTAGACCAGAAAGAAAATATTTTCACAAGTTATTAGGCAATGTAGGAGTTATTCCTTGATTTAAAAATATACTATCATGAATAAATATAAAGAAAATAAGCAATCTTCTAGTCAAGAAGTATCCCACACTGATGTTCCCACTGGTCAAAAAATATCAAGTCAACCTAAAAAGAAATACTCAATTCTGAAGCGTGGGAAACTTTAATTTAAATATAGGCTTTTAAAACTGAATTATTTCTCAGAACCCTTACTACACTAATATTAATGTTTATGAGCAAAATAGTGAGCAGCAGTTTCCAGACTTACTTTATCAGAAACTCTGATTTTCCTTAGGGAGACAAACCATGAGACTCCTAACTCTGGGAAACAACAAACGGTTGTGGAAGGGGAGGTAGGAGTGGGGGGTTGGGTGATGGGCACTGAGGAAGGCACTTGATGGGACGAGCACTGGGTGTTATATGCTGGCAAACTGAACTTAAATAAAAACAAATGAAAAGAGACGCCTGGTGGCTCAGTGGTTAAAGTGCCTGCCTTTGGCCTGAGCCTGATTCCGTGGTCCTGGGATGGAGTCCCACATCAGGCTCCCTGCATGGAGCCTGCTTCTCGCTTCTCTCTCTGCTTGTGTGTCTGCCTCTCTCTCTTTCATGAATATTTCATGAATAAATAAAATCTTTGGGGAAAAAATAGAAAAAAAAAAAAAAAAAAAAAAAAAACCTCGAATTTTCCAAGGAGGTTAAAGTACTATGCCAAATCAATTTAAATGTCATCTTGCCAGAGTATCCTATAAACTATCTTAAAACTAAGGAAAAAAATAAAAAATAAAAAAAAATAAAACTTACTAAGGATGTAGAACCAAAGCAATAATCACATCTCAGTTAAGATAGTTTTCTAACTTATTAATAATATCTAAAGAAGCCTGCTGGTAGTTAATTATAGTTATAGATCTATAAATACTAGTATTTATGTGTAATTAAGACATAAAATGGCTTTGTCAAATCCTCTTAACAGACCTCAAACATCCAATAACATGATATTCATCATTCCTAACTTATTATTTTGATAGATTTTAAACTGACAGGACAAGTGCAAAAAAACCCATTAACGTACAATAGAACTTCCCCATTGGTTTACCTTTCCTTCTCCCTCTCCATACACGCATGTCTATATTTAGAAATGTACATATATTTTTATACATATTTTTTTCCTGCTGAACAATTTGACAGTTCTTTGCCACCATCACAACTGTATTAATAAACATATTAACATGGGTCTCTAGAAATGGGGTCATTTTCCTATCCAATCAAAAAAAACAATTACTGCATTCACTGGAGCAATACTATTAACGTAACATACAATCCATTTTCAAATTTTACCAGTTGTCCCAGAATGTCCTTTACAACAAATTCACTGACATTTTAGAGCAGAATTATTTTACCTCTTTTTTCATCTTGTAACCAAAACGATTAAGAATAGCTAATGGCCAAATATTTGAGCAATGAAATTTAGATTTCTAAATTATCTTTACATTATACACTTGTTCAAATACAGGTTTAAAACATTAACAAACATACTGACAGGATTAATGCTGATTTTCTTGATTGATTTTAAGATTTAATTTTGAAGCCTTATTTAACTTGGTACTCCAAATGTTCTCACAGTGTTTTGTTCCTTTGGAACCAAATGAATCTCAAAGTCTATGGCAAAGAGTAGACTACTAAAATGCTAACCTTGGTACAACTTTTCACAAAAATCATTTTCTAAGACTCAAAGATGAATTCTAATAACAAAGACAAAATGTTTATAAAGGACACATTCTGTGATCACAATACAAAGAAACCAAGAAATAACCTAATAAGTTAGATGAAGAGAATCAAAACACCTGATTCTTAACAACTCCTATATTGAATAGGGTATGCCCACAACTATAATTAAAAACTATTAAACAATAAAAACCAAACTGAATACCGGAACCCTGGAATATGTCCAAAGTTACATCACAAATTCACAGCCCTATTTTTTTTCCAAAAGAACAAAAAGCAAAACACAATTCCACTTAAAAAAAAAAAGGAATACAAAAAGCAGAAGAAACTATGTTTAAAGATTAACATAGATTTTAATGAATAAAAACTAAAAAATGCTATTTATGAATGGAAAAATTAACCAAGGGCTAGAGCTACATCTTTGGAAGATAAAGCAGAGCAGTTAGATCACTGGCAAATCCAAATAAGGACAGAAATTATATGTGTATATATATATATGAGTGTATGATTATATAGAAGTGAAAAAGAATATAGAACTTTAAAAAATGAACAGTTTGGGGATGCCTAGGTGGCTCAGGAGGTAAGCGTGTGCCTTTGGCTCAGGGTATGATTCTAGAGTCCCGGGATCGAGTCCCACATCGGGCTCCCTGCATGGAGCCTGCTTTTCCTTCTGCCTATGTCTCTGCCTCTCTGTGTGTGTCTGATGAATAAATGAAAATCATTAAAAAAAAATACATAAAATAAAAATGAACAGTTTTATCCAACAAAATTACAGAAGTCATAAATTATCGAAATTGATTTAAGAAGTAACAAATTTCAGCTCTGGAAGAAAGCTGAATAGAGTTGTCAATGTAATCATCAAAAAATGCTTTGGCAACCAAGACAAGGCTTTTTTTTTTTTTTTTTGCCTATCTGATTACATCTTTAGATAAGTTCAAATAATTTCTAGCTGATTCTCTTATTAAATCTATCATACTTTTAATTCAAAATTTCAAACTCTATAAAGTCTGACATTCTCCATAACTTTATGTAAAAGCTCTTGCACAGTTTTTTCCATACATAATTTTTAGACACCCAAAGAACTATTACAATAAAAGACTGCGAAGTTTCTTCTAAAAACATTAAAAACAGTAATTCCTAGATCTATCTGATTAGTGCAATCACATGGGGAGCTTTGTATATATACACGTATATACGGATTGCTAGGTTCAATCTAGCCCCATTGGATCAGTCTCTGGGATAATTCAGGAGTCTGCAGTTCTCTAAAGCACCTCATGTGATTCTCATGATCAGCCAAGGTTTAGGAGCCAGTGCTCTACAGCACAGCTTCTATTTCTTCTCATTCCCACTTCTTCAAGGAGATATTCTGTCTGGGTAGCAGGAACCAATATGAAACAGGTTATAAATGTGTAACAGAACAGTATGATTTGGTAGGAGAAATCAATGACAAATATCTAAACACACACATAGAAGAAGGAAAGAAAGAAAAGGTCAATAAATAAGACAAAGGGAGACAGAACAATAGATCCTCTCCCAATATTTTCTCCATGGATTAAATAATTGATAAAGAGTGAGGAGGGCACTGCATCTCTTTGTATAGGCAAAAGGGAAAGAATATAAACAATAGTCTGACTGGTACTTCACGTAATCTATGGTTTAGCTTGGGACAGCCTATGCTAATATCCCAGGGGCCTCTGACTTTAGAGAGATCTTACCAAGATAGCCTCTAATGGGCTTTCCTTCTTTAAATACTTTGTCATCACCTACTTACTAGTCTATCTCCAACTCTCCAAATTAAAGATAGAGGATAGTGAGCAAATGTTTAATTTAAAAAATTCTACCAAGTACATTCAACATTTATGTCCTTATTACTAAAGCTATTCTGACTTCTAAGGAAGAATAATTACAGAAAGAAATGTTTTCATTTCTGAAGTCTTTGTGTTCATTCATGGGTGAAGAGGGAATATGCAATATAAGCAGAGCTAGGTTAAACTGGGCTAAATAAGAGTTTGTAAATTAACATATAAAGAACTCTTCAGTCAAACATAGGATGAGTTTTAATGTCTCTGAATGAAATACCTACACCAAAATATAAGAAAGTATGCTTCCTTCCCAATGCTGCAAATACATGAGCTATTTATGTGCCCTAACAGTACCTACCGAATTCCTAAAGCACAGGATACCCTATATCCTAATTATTTTTGTATTCATTTGTTTAGGATATTTGACATAAAATGTAGAGAATAAACAGGTGACAATACAGTTTAAAATGTAATAAACTTCTGTCAAATGACATTAACTACATTCCATATCTATAAATAGTATGGTACAAAAGAAAAAGACAATCATCTTCACTTTGCTCTATTACCCAAATCTACACTTGATCTTAGCCAAAAGGCAGAGAAGCAATTTATTACCCATTCTAATAGCAATTACATTTATTTAATCTTACCTCGAATTACTGAATAAAGAGAATTCCACTCATTGCACAACACATGCAATATTAGAAAATAGTTTCTCATTTAAATACAACTATGTAAGAAAAAATAAGAAATTACAATCTTTAATTCTCAATTCTTACAGATCATCCATTTTGCAGGGACTTCCTTTCTTCAAACTTGTTTCACTTGCTGTGGCAGTAACTACACTAAATAACAGCAAGCAAATGTTATTTGACAAAAGAGAAATAATGGAAACAGATGATTATCATCATTCTCCAACCAATGCTAGGGTTTTATATTACTCAATGCATTCACAAAATTCCTACCTCAAAGATTTGTTCAAAATTCTGAAACTCCTGTAATCTTGCCTGGAATCCTTCGGCAAGTGCCCCACCTGTAATATTTAGGTCAAGTGTTTAAAAACTAGAATACAAGATAAGATTTCTAGCACATTATTTCTACAATTGTACTTGTATTTCAAAAGACAATCCAATCTATAATAATACATACCACCTTCTGGCATCCCCTGTGCTTTCTGCTTTCTAGCACTAAGAACTTCCTTTGCGGAAACAAAGAAAATACGATTCTGTGCCTCTAACGGATCCACAACTTTAAGTTCCTCCACCAAGAAATGCAGACATCTTTCCATGTGCTGTCTGCGTACCTAGAGAAAACAGTGTACTGAAATAATTCTAGTAATTAAACAATTATAACTGATAGCTACAGACTTATACTAAACTCCATTTATAGTGATATCATAAGTAGTAGTTTCCATATACTTAAGTCCAAAAATTCTAATAAATGAAGTCTGATACTTGTTGACAGGATACTGACTTACATGACTATTTGACCAAAAAGGTAGCATGCAAGCAACAATCACAGACTGGGTGGCATTTTTATTTCCTTATGCTTATTTTCCAAATTATTTATTTATTTATTCATTTATTTATTCATTTATTCATTCATTCATTCATGAGACACAGAGAGAGAGAGAGGCAAAGACATAGGCAGAGGGAGAAGCAGGCTCCATGCAGGAAACCTGATGTGAGACTCAATCTCGGGACCCCAGGATCATGCCGTGATTAGGGATTAATCCTGATTAGGGATTAGAGTTGCAACGTTAGGTTTAAGATCAGCACTTTGGCATTAATGTTAGGACTAAGAGAGGAGCCTAAAAAAAAATAATTAAAAAAAAAAAAAAGAGGGAGCCTGGCTGGCTCAGGGGGGTATGTGACTCTTAATCTCAGGGTTGTGAGTCCAAGCCCCACGTGGGTATAGAGATTAAATAAAACTTAAAAAAAAAATAAAAATTAAAAAGAAAATTAGGACTAAGCATTAGAAACTAGTTAGGGTTTAGTACTAGACTTTAGCATCGTGGCTGCGGTGAGATCTTTATCTTAAGACTTAATAAAAAATTAAGCTGGGGACGCCTTAGTGGCTCAGTGACTGAGTGCCTTCAGTTCAGGGCGTTACCCCGGGGACCTAGGATCAAGTCCCGCATCAGGCTTACTGCAGGGAGCCTGCTTCTCCCTCTGCTTGTGTGTGTCTCTCATGAATAAATAAAAATCTTAAAAAAAAAAAATTTAAGCTAAGCAGGAATGGAAAATAAAACAATCTGTGGATGATATTTCCTAATTCTGATGATTAAATAAGACTTCAATTTGAAACAGGATAATCTCAATCTGCTTGGGAGTATAAACTGGTACAAGCACTTTAGAAACTCTTTGGCTGTGTTTACTAAAACAATATATTCTTTACCTATAATCCAGCAATTCTACTGCTAGATATATACTCACAGATTACTGATCTCTGCAGTACTGACATTTTGAGTCAGATAAATCTTTGGTTGGGAGGGATGTTCTGTGTTATGGGACTTTTAATAGCACCCCTAGCCTCTACCCAACAGATGCCAGCGGCATACGCTTAAGAGTTGTGATGACCAAAAGTGTCTTCAGACATGGCCAAATACTCCCTGGGGATCAAATCTGGCCAATCCCTCATGTTGAAAACCACTGATATACACCACACCCAACAGAAATACATACCTATGTGCACCAAAGAGACATATGTAAGAATATGTACAGCAGCACCTGAATAACAGCTAAATATAGGAAGTTTACCCAAATGCCCAACACTGGCAGAATGAATAAGTGAAATATACTTATTCATATAAGCTAAAATACTACACAGTAATGACAACGCACTTCAACAATGCCTAAGAGTATGGATACATATCACAAATGTAACGTTGAGCAAAAGAAATCTGACATAAAAGTATATACTACAGGATTCCATTACATAAAGTTGAACAACCAAAAAATTAATCAAGGGTGTTAGAAGTCTTGGTAAGCGCTCATCCCCATGAGGGAGGACAGAGACTGGAAGGGGGAGCTGGGAATGTTCTGCTTCTTGACTGGATCTTAACAGAGGTTCGTTCAGTTTGTAAAACTCACACTTATGATTTGCACACTTCCTGTTATGTTATACTTCAATAAAAAATTAAAACAGTTTCAAGATCTAAAATGATTAAATAAATAAATAAATAAATAAATAAGTAAGTAAGTAAGTAAGTAAGTAAGTAAGTAAAATGATTAGATAGCACATCTGTAACCATTTTCCGAAGCAGCTTAATATTCTAGTCTCTATCACATATCCACTTCAGGTTTTCTTTGTTTTTTTTTTTTTATGATAGTCACACAGAGAGAGAGAGAGAGAGAGAGAGGCAGAGACATAGGCAGAAGGAGAAGCAGGCTCCATGCACCGGGAGCCCAACGTGGGATTCGATCCAGGGTCTCCAGGATCGCGCCCTGGGCCAAAGGCAGGCGCTAAACTGCTGCGCCACCCAGGGATCCCCCACTTCAGGTTTTAATTTGTCTTTTCTAAAGTAAAAGAACAGCTACTTGTGATGTTCCATAAGATACACTGTTTTCTCAGATAACAATGTACATGACTCTTTCACAACTTAAAAGAAAAAAAATAGTAACTTACGTCTTCCATATATTCTGGCTCTGATGCAGAGGCATCCCAACGATTATTCAAAATGAAAATATTAGGCTTGGAAAGTCGCTCATTTACCTTGTGAAAAAACTGCTTTTCCTAAAAAACATCAAATACCCAAGAGTATGTTCACTTTTAACAGCTATTTTATATTTACATTTATAATTGAAGATCTAACCTAAAAGTTTGAACCATTTAGACAATAGTGATTAATCCCCATTGATAAAGAATCCCAAAGCACTCTGAACATTTAGCTTCTCAAAGATGTGAAAATTAAATTAGAAGAAGGCAAAACTGAAGATTTTCCTGCTCCTGCCATGAGTTTTTTCTGAAATTCAGTTTAACAAATATTTATGTCTCTACTTTTGGCAGAACACAATAGATACTGCTGGATATGACAGTAGTCCATATTTTCAAAAAGCTGCCTCAAATCTTTTTTAAGATTTAGACTAAGTAAATTAATAACAACGTAAGACCTATATATATCATAATAACAGAGAAAGCTATGTGCCCTAAATGCTATAGATACATGCTGTGCTTATTCAAAGGAAAGAGACACTGTATCTATTTGGAATTAGGAAAAGCTCCATAAAGAAAGAAGTGGTGATTTAAAAAAAAAAAAATGAAAGAAAGAAGTGGTGATAAAGATATGCTTAAAAGTACTGTTAATGGCCTTCTGAAAGATGAGAAGTTGGGAGTGAGGGAAGAATTGTGGGCAAAGAATAGCATCAACAAAGACACAGAAATCAGAATGTACATCAAAGCTTGTTTATCAATATCAAAATAATGGGCATTATTCTAACAAAGATTTTTTTTTTTCTTAAGATTTTAAACATTTATGTTTCTTGTATAATCTGACATAAACAACTGTGTTGTTGCAGCAGCCTGGTCCATGTGATATAGATCTGACTGTACAAAAACTAGTAACACAGTGACAAAACAGAGCTCTTGCTGGTAACACCTAGGTTATAATGGTGTTTAGCCATTTATATGTTTATGAGGAATAACAATTTAAAAAAATCATACCATAGTTTTGGATATTGGAGATATATAAATTCTGGAGTTTATTTAGGATGAGTCTGGCTCTAGACACATATAATCTAATCTATTAAGTTTGACAGCAGCTTAGAATGCACACAAGTAAGGTGGAACCTAGAATGTACAAAAGTAAAGCTGGGAAAGGTTGACAAAACTAGAAGTATGAAAAGCTTTGTCTGCCAGATGTGAGGGTTAGGGGAAGGGTAGGAGGGGGGAGTGTTAAACTTTATTCAAAAGACTTAAATCATCATCCTAACAATTCTGGTGCCCATTCCTTCTGAAACTGGCAAATAATCACAATCAATGTCAACAACACACATATCACACCCTGAAGTTAAAAATTCACTAGAAGCTAGAGCCATCAAACCCTAGATTCCCAATGATACTTAAGACACCAGAATCAGCTCTTCTGGTCCGACTGAAACACAAACTCCTTTGTTCACCCCTGATATTAGAGGTTCTTTCTAATCCATGATTTGGACTTTCCTCACTTTTCAGAATTAACAGACACTATCTCATTTCCTACCAAACATAACAATATGATTAAATCCTACCGTGTTCATTAGTGTTGATTCAGAGTTTGCAACCAAAACGAAGACATCAGCATCTAAGCAAAACTTATCAATCCAGCTATCCAGCTCTGTAGTGACATCTGTACCTGGACTAATGGAAATAAAATAAAATTATATTTTTAAAAAAATGTATTTTATAATAGTTTTTTAAAAATTTCATTGTAGAAAAAATGTGTAACTTTTATGAACTGAAGTCTAAAGGACAGGATTTCTACTGGTTTTCAGCACAAAGCCTAGGAGATTTATTTTCTCACCTATAAGAGAGTACTTGTGGCAAGCTGAGTCTGTTTTACATACTTCTATATTTATTCTGTTGACAAAGAACTCCCAGAGCCTATCCATTTGAAAACAAATGCTAAAAAAGTTTATTTACTAAAAAACAAATAATCTTGTGATGTTTGATAAGGAAATGGTCAATATTTTGATCTTTTAAATCTTTATGCTTTGGAAGGGTGAAAAATAATATATAACCAAAATCAAAAGTGCAAGCAGCTATGTCCAGTACAACTCAAAATATTTAAGTACTCATGAGCATAAATAATAAAACACCCTATGCTAAGACCTAGGTTTAATATACCATCTTACTATAAAATTATAGTGCAGCTGTCTACACACTGGCTTAATGTACACTGTGATAACGTGGCAAGATGAGAGGCAAGGGTCAAGGACATAGTCTGACCACGAAATAAAGCAAAATTAAAAGCCCATCACCAAAACCAAAATGGTTTCCACAAAACACTGAAATTTTAACTGAAGAAAACAAAAGAGCATACCAAAATTTTGAAAAATCATTTAACTACCTTTTTTAGTTAAGGACATTGCTTAGCATTATCATTTTACTTAGCACTGATGTAGTAAAAAAACATGTAATAATAAATATCCAATTAATTCTTGAACAATGAAAGGCTATGTAAATTGCCCAGTAAAGTAACTTTGGGAAATTTGGTCTCAAAATTAAATTTATTAGTAGGGAGCCTGGGAGGCTCAGTCATTTAAGCGTTGGACTCGGTTGGACTCAGCTCAGGTTGTGATCTTAAACCCTCCATCAGACTCCATATTCAATGCCAAGTTGGCTTGAGATTTTCTCCCGCTCCCTGTGCATTTGTGCACTATCAAATAAAATCTTAAAAAAAAAAATTTATCACTAGTTAAAAAAAATTTACCTAATCAGTGTTACCTATCTAGTTATCTAGAATTAGACAATCTCCAAGGCACACCTATTTATCTAAACTACAGTCAATCTAGAGGGGGAAAAAAAAGTTCTAATATAATTAGACTAAGAAACTGGTACTTTTATGTAATGAGTAAAAAACAAAAACCTACACTTTTTTGTTCCTTAATCTAGCAAACGAGAACAAAGCAGCAACTGTTACGTATTATATGCTAAAGCACGCAGTATTATTCTATCAAATAAACCTTTACGAGGCGAAAACACAATTCATATGTAATTTTACCTGTCTACTAAAACCAGGTCATCTCTCAAAAGGGCACATTTTGCCTTTGGCCAAAATACATGTACAAGGCAGCCAGCTTTCAAGTCTTTGTCCATATGAAGGGCATGGGCCAGCTGATTGACTGTCTAAAGTGGAAGGGAAAGAAAAAACAAACTCTGCTTGTATTAAAACTCAGTAAAAAATTAAAAACCCTATGATTTAATACATTTATTTTTGCAAAACATGTACAAAAAAACAGAACTTTAAATAATTTGAAATAAAACCATCTCAGCAATCTTGAAAAGCTGAGTTTTAGAAACCAAGTGTGTGTGTGGGGGGACCTTAAAACAGTTTACTCATCCATTCTGCAAAAATAATCAGAGCTGGTAACATTCTAAATGCCCAACAAATAAACTCTGGCAATGGAATCCAAAGTAACACCTGAAATTGATACTGTACGTATGAGAACAAATTTATATTAGAAGAAAGAAGGTAATCAAATTGTATGTGTGAAGCCATTTTGTTTACAAAATACAGAGAAACATACATTTAACTCTATACCACAAGGGTTTCCACTAGTTTTAGGAAGCATGTGAATTTGGGAGTTTCTTTTTGCCCATTTGTATTTTCTGTCCCTTCTAAAATCTACCGCTTAGTAAGGGGTGAAAACAGAAGAAACACTTATTAAAATAGGTTTAAAAATACCAGACTAATAAGATGAAAACAATACAAGAAAAGCTCAATGCGTATTCTTTTAATAAGATTTTTCTCAGTAGGTATTTACTCACATAAGTCTGTCAGACATCAAGGACTATGCCTTCTCTTTCCATTTGAATTCACTAAAATATTTCTATTTCTCCAATTTCTGACATATGCTAATTTATTAACATACTACTTTAATACCTTCACATATGTGTTAAATATACAATAAATACAAAGTGCTTAATATAAAAATAATATTCAAGGAAAGGACACCAGTACACATACAAATGAACTGTAGAGGTATCAATTTTTAAAGGGCAACATCCATTTTCAAATGGGCATGATAGTCCTGATTAAGGTTGAAGTAAATCTCCATAGTGACACTGTTAGCTAGATTTTATTTTTGCTTGCTTTCATAAACTTTTTGATAGAATTATAAATTTGTACTAAAATCTTGATATCTGGTCTATAACATTAAAGTAATAAAAGCACCTATCTGACAGAGTTGTGGTGAGGTTTGAGTTACTGCAGGCACTTAGAATACTGCCTGGTACTTAGAAAGTGTACAATGAAATATTAGCTGTTAATGTTGCAGTTCTTTTACTAAGTAAACTAGTGTAGCACGAGACTCAAAGTCCGTACCTTAAAGCAGACCACTACTTGAGGTCAACAATTTAAATTTTGGGGTAGGGGAGAGGAGTGAAAAGGCACGAAGGAAGAGGACTGGAAGTAGAGATCACCGACCAAGAAAAAGGAGAGAATACTTTAAAATATCATAGTACATTTTACTTTGAGGATCTAAAGCCACAGGTAGTTTGAAACATCATCTCCTTTATCTCCTCATAACTAATCTGAAGGATATTACTACAGATTGAGTTACCTGAGCTAAATCAAACAGCAAACTCAGAGAACAAGAATTAGACTCGTGGATTCAACTGTTTTGCAAAAACTAAAATGGCATGGATATTTAAACACTGAATTTTTCCATTTGTGGGAGAGATTTTAAGAGAAAGGGGGGGAAAAAGACAAGAGAAAGTGAAGATATTGAGAAACACCTTTTTTCCCTCTTTTGGCTAAAGGAACCTCGTGGCACTAAATTTAAGAAATTTTTGAAAGGAAAAAAGAAATTTTTGAAAGGTAGGGAATTGTCATTGGCCTTTATCTGATAAAATTATTTATTCATGAAACGTCCTCACTAAATAAATATTCCAAAAATAAAATAGTTTCTAAAGGCACAGACATAAGTCAAAAACATTCCAGGGCCCAACTTTTTAAGCGAAGTTTTCTTTCAAAAAATGAAATTAGATTTGAGATTAAACAATGTTTAATAACACTTCAATGTTATTTTCACTGGGGACATTATTTTTTAAATGTAATAAACTGGGCAGCCCCAGTGGCACAGCGGTTTAGCGCCGCCTGCAGCCCAGGGAGTGATCCTGGAGACCTGGGATCGAGTTCCACGTCGTGCTCCCTGCATGGACCTGGCTTCTCCCTCTGCCTGTGTCTCTGCCTCTCTCTCTGTGTATCTCTATGAATAAATTAAAAAAATCTTAAAAAAAAAAAAAAATAAATGTAATAAACTTTTAACTCTAAGGACAAGTTTTATTCTTCTAAGAAGGTATGCTTTAAAGTATATCCTAATAATTTAGCTCTGAAGCAAAAAAAATTTTAGAGTATTCAAAATATCAGTGATGGCTTTAAAGCTACAAATAGAAACATTAATGGTTCTTCTACTTTTAGCAATACAAACATCTGACAGAATTCTTTTTTAAAAGGACCAAGGACATTATTTCAAGAACATTACGAGGCTAACAAAGATTATACCTTCACACTCTTTTTTTCATCTGATCCTTCTGTCATAAGATAGGCTTTATCTCCATCAGTTCCTTCAACACTCAGGAAGCAATTGGTTGTATGGCCAATCCCACTAGGAAGGACTTTATCCCACAACATCGCATTGATAACAGAGCTCTTCCCACTGCTTGTCCTAAAGAATGAATATATAAAATCATAAAGACAAAACAGTAAAAACCTTGTTCTTTCACTGGGTCTAAGGACAACTTTCTTAGAATTCAAACTTTGTTTACATTTCATCAGATTGCACTTTTTACAAAAGTTGCCAATTTGGTTTACACAAATATTAGGAATGTACACATTTCTGAAAAAGAGAAAAACAAATCCTACCTTCCCATAAAGCTATTCTTGCCTTTCTTATCTTTCTTGCTTCTTGTGGCAATTTGAAATCACAGCCGCAGATTTTTCCCAAGATGAGATGTGGTATACTGTCCTCATGTCCTTAAATCTGAATTCCATCTTTTTCACATTCAAAGCATTACCTATTTCTCCTTATCAAATAGGACAACTGAGTCATCATCTCACCAGGAGCCCTCTTCCTTCTCATTCCCACTCCACCCTAATCTTATTAGGGCCTATTTATGGACCTACCTCATACCAGACTCTGTAAGGCCCTGTAAGGTCAAGCAGGAGAAGTAGACCAAAAAAACCCCTACGACACCCAGCTTTGTGGAAAAAATACTTTATAGACAAAGCAGTCAGGGAAGGTTAATGAGATTGTTAACATTTAGAATGAGATCTGAAGAGTGAAAAAGAACCAGACATAGATAAAACAAGATAAAGGAAATTCTAAGTATAGGAAATTGCAAGTGCTAAAAAAAAAAAAAAAAAAAAAAAAAAAACCATAAGAAGGGCTTAAAAGGCCTATAACGTTAGTTTAGTAAGTAAATGCTTCCGTTGATACACAGCATGTGATATTTGAGCAAACAGGCATGGACCTAGCCATCTGTCTTTGCATCCCTAGGGCCCACCAGAGTGTACAGTACACAGGAAGTTAACAATTGATTCTTAAATGAATATACGAGCTGTAGCAGAGATCACTCTACCACTCCAGACAATTATGTTAACAAATGGCACTTTCTATTCTCCCTCTAAAAATCACAGGGCTGAGAATCCTTTTGGAAGGGACACCTGATAATTAAGAGAAAGTGAAAAAAGTCACAAATTAGGCATATCATTTATCTATATTTCAAGTCTTAGAACTGGCTAAGAAGCGAATTCTTAGAGATGAGCATCTTTCAAAAGTATAAATATGGATGACCTTTAGAAACCTTCATTTTATACCTAGACCTAAAATGAACAAATGCTTTTCATGCTAATAGCTTTAGCATTTAAGAAAGGGAGAAACTCTTGTGGGGCAGAGGGGGAAGACCATCACTTGCTGAAATATCAGAAACAAAAGTTGGGGGACATGACAGGAAAGCTGATTACTGGAAACTACCCTTAAGAGAAATAAAAAAGGATTACCTGCCAAAAAATGCCACTTTCATATGTCTCCGAGACAGCACCTCACCAATGATGGAAAGCTTGTTTTTATAACCCTGTATTTCTATCAAATCATCTTCAGTAGCTATTTGATCAAGTTCTGGATTCCTGTATGTTGCTACAAAATTAAAATGGTGTTAAAAAAGTGATAAAAATGAGTATTAAATTGATTATACAATAGAATATCTAAGAATATACACGTATTTTGCCTTTGCTCTATATTCACATGGCCATTTGAAAAGTAAAAATGCCACAGTTATCTGAATATTTGGTAAAAGGTGAATGCCTTGTTCCATAAGGGGGTCGTAAGAATCCCGCCCCCAAAATTTCAAAATTATTAAAAAATTACAGGGGCTATCCTCAAGCTAAAAATCTGGTGAGGTACGGTTAGGAAGGACAAGAAAAAAATGTTTGACTCTACTAACCTACCAAATGTTTCCCCACTGTCACTTTAGAAGTTTACAGAATCCCTCCCTTTTCACTGTACCATTAATAGTCATGTGATCTTAAGAACCAGAAAAGATTTCAAGTTGCCTCCAAAGTAGTATTTCCCCAGTAAGATATTCCTCACCAACACAGTCTGAGCAGTTTACACTCCCTTTTGCCCTTTCCCCACCACATTCCAGCCTCATTTCAGAAGATAAGATAGGTCTGCGATCTAAGCTGACTGCTGACTCGGGGAGGAGATAATGTATAATGGCTTAAATGGCTTAAATTTTTTAGTCCAGGCATTTACTGATCACGAGCATGATGCTTAAATTTTCTGTGCCTTGGTTTCACCTTTAAAATAACTGCAGTTAAAATCTGTCCCAGCGTGGATATGAGGATTACATGCATAATTAACGAAGTGCTTAGTGCTATCGTTCATACAACCATTTATTTCTTAGGTTATTAATACCATTTAGTCTTCCTCCTTCAGAAGGCAGAAATGGGTTTTATTCGTTAGGGCATCTCTCCTGGAATATAGTGCAATGCCTTATATACTGAACGCGTTACACTGAACGCATAAGTTGAGTAACTACGGGTGAAAGGATAAAGCCCCTGCATATATTTTCAACCTTATTATTTTTAAGACTTGGAGAAACTAACCTTCAACAAAATGGGATCCTTCAGTGACAAACTCCAGTAACTGGTCAAAGATTGCAGTAATTGCCCTCTTAGCCAGCACAAAGTGCTTCAGTGGAGAAGCAGATTCTGCCATTATGTTACTGGGGGAAGAAAATTAAAGTTAGAAAAGCACGAATTAGGGGTGCCTGGGTGGCACAGGTGGTTGGGCATCTGACTCTTGGTTCCCACTCAGATTCTGATTTCAGGGTCCTGAAATCCAGCCCGGAGTCAGGCTCCATGCTCAGGGGGAAATCTGCTTAAGATTCTTCCTCTTGGGGTCAGCCCAGGTGGCTCAGCGGTTTAGCGCCGCCTTCGGCCCAGGGAGTGATCCTGGAGACCCAGGGTGGAGTCCCACGTCGGGCTCCCTGCATGGAGCCTGCTTCTTCTGCTGTGTCTGTGTCTCCCATGAATAAATAAATAAAATCTTAAAAAGAAAAAAAAAATTCTTCCTCTCCCTGCCCTTAAAATTAAAAAAAAAAAAGTCAAAAAAAAAAAAAGAAAAGCACAAGTTAGACTGTATGATAAAGACATGCAAATTAATGACAGCTTCCTGCCAAATTAACTCCCCAGTGAAATAAACGGCCAACATACTTTCAGATAATTGTTTTTTGAGAAGTGTTTTAGACGGGCAATTAAAGACAACTTTTCCGGTGATACTCCATTAAAATAAGTCAACTCTATTGGACAAAATCCTGTTTGCAATTTCTACTTTAACTTCCTTTGGTGAAGATGAAACTCATCGTGGCCAACTGCGACAGCACAGGACGCTTAAGAACTGGGTCAGCGAGCAGAAGCAAGTTCGCCAACAAGAAGTTTCCCAACCTGGAGCTCTAGTGGGTGGAGGTGCATACAGAGACCGAGGAAATAAAGTTCCAGGATCATCATGTTAATACCGACGTTTAAAAAGGAAAGTAGTTCTCATCCGAACAAATAAGCAGACAAGGCTTGAGGCGAGAATTAACGTTTCCAGCCAAAGTGCCAAGAACTTTAAAGAATGTTAAGTTTAGGGGGGAAAAATTATTTTCTGGCAACTTCTCATGAAAAAGACACCCCCCCCAAAAAAAAAAAAAAACGATTACACGCCAGTCTACACCCGGTGCGTACGCATGTGGAACGGAGCGGAGTGGTCATTAAAAAAGGCCGAGCCTTTCCGAGGGTCAGGAAAGGACTCGGTGAACGAGCCGGGTGGGAAGCGCAGGGTGAGGGCAAGGGCCCGGCTGGACCGAGTGGGAGCACCCACCCACCTTGGGGCCAGGCCTCCGCCGCCCGGCGCCGGAGCCCCGCCCGCAGAGCCAGGGACCGGACCCACCGCCGCCCCGGCTGCGCCAGCCCCGCCGCACAGGCTCCACAGCCTCGGGGCTCCGGCCTCGCGGGCTCCGCGGGCTCGACCCCGCCGCCGGCCGGGCTCGCACACCCGCTCGCTAGCTCCTTCCCCGGAGCCCCGCGGCGGCGCCTCGTCACAGAACTCCTGCCCACGACTGTCCCCCTGCCCCCGTCCCCGTCCCCGGCCGCACGAAGGTCACCCCGAGCGAAGCGAACCGGCCCGCGGCCGACGCAGCGAGCACTCACACTGTCCCGGCTCCGACCCGTCACCCGGCAACCGCAGGCCAGCCTCAGCCCTCAGGCCTCCTCATCCTGCCGGGAAACGCTGGGAAGCGGGGAGGAGGTGGGAGGAGCGCCAAGGGGGCGGTCACTTCCGGTTTCTTCTCCGCCCCGAGCTTGTTTGGCTCCGTGGCCGGAAGTGCGTCTACGCCGACCTCCATTTTTCTTAAGGGCAGGAGGCAGGTTGACTCTCGGGAAAGCTACCGGGATGGGGTTGCGTCCCTTGCTTACGTCTGCCTCCGGTCTCTTCGCCCATCACAGTCTCCAGACGTTGGCCTAGTTTAGGCATAGTTAGCTCCCACTTTAGTGAGAGAGATCTTAAAAGGAGGTGGGGTGGAGTGGGATGAGGTGGGGTTAGGGCTGCCCCACAAAAGGGATTTCTGTTTGCCCCACGATCCCCATTAAAGGAGAACCCTTTGGCCGCCCCACTATCTTCTGTTGTGCGATTGGCTTCCTGGGATTGGAGTACAGCCCTGTGTGTGCGCGCGCGTGCGCTCCTTGAATTACTTTAGAGCGAGACTTCGGAAAATGATACATTGTTGAGTGTTCTTCGAACTTTATACTTCTAGGACCTGAGAATCTTGCTAACCTGCACATTCTGATTCTTTGGGTCGGAGGTGAGGCCTGAGAGCCTGCATTTCTAGCATCCTTGAAGAGCTGCTGCTGCTGCTGTTCTGTACGTGGCTTAATTAATAGAGAGTCTGGAGATTTCATTCCAGAGCTCATAAGTGCGATACAGTTTAGCGAGAGAAGTCACTTCATCTTTCTGACCCTCAGGCCCTTCATCTATAAAACTGGCATTCTAAAAATAAAAATAAAAAATAAAAAAAACTGGCATTCTAATGATACCTACGTTATAGGTTGTTGTGAAAATTAAAGGGTTCAATAGCGTGTGAAGTGCTTATAACACTGCTGGGTATACAGTTAGAGTTACATTAAAGAAATACTGATGTTCTTTCTATTAGAATCGATGAATATCAAGAAAACAAAAATAAGTGAGATCGTTTCGCATGTGCTTTGTACTCTAAAAAGGAAAAAATGACAATGGGGACAGACTATCTGAAGAAAAATGAGAACTGAGCCACATAGGGTGATCTTTTCTGGGGAGATATTTCTTTGATTTTTCCCAGGAAGCCAATCCTTGGACTATGTGGAGGAAGAATGCCCGAAACAGAGGGAACAGGAAGTCTAAAGGCCTATAGGAAGGAGAGTGGTATGGTGGATGAAAAAGAAAAAGGCCAGCGTATTTGGGATGCAGGGAGGGAAAGAAAATGTGGGAAGATTAGAGAGGTAGGTAGGTGTAGAGTCATATAAGCCAAGATCAGAAGTTTGAATTTTATTGTAAGTGCAATGGCAAGCTGTTTTAAATTTGGGAACTGGTTTGATTGACATTTTAAAAGATCACTTTGGTTGCCCTGTGGATACTGGACCCTATCAAGATTCCACACAATGTTTATTAAACAGCCCAGTCCATTGGCTGGAAATAGAGCCATTTCATTTGAAAAATGCCTTTTAGTATTAGTAATCTACTAAAGTCCTAGGCATAATTGCAAAATAAATTGGAATCATTTGACTTCAGTGTTACATGCTTTTTAATCCCTTATCTTGTTTCACCGCCCTCTCTCCACACCATAAACACATACACATAAACAGTATGCTAAGCATTCTAAGAATCCTTATATTGTACTTCTATCAAAATTTGTTTTGCAATAAAGATTTGCTGGGGCACCTGGGTAACTCAGTTAAGTATCTGCCTTTGACTCAGGTCATGATCTTAAGTTCCTAGAATCTCCCCTTGCTCTGAGGGCAGTCAGTTTCTCCTCCCTCTGCCCCTCCCCCCACCCTTCTTGATCTCTCTGTCTCAAATAAATAAGAAAAAATCTTTAAATTTTTTAAATTTAAATACTATTAATTAACAGGTAATGTATTATTGGTTTCAGAGGTAGAGATCAGTGATTCATTAGTCTTACATAATAACCAGTGCTCATTACATCACATGCCCTCCTTAATGTTCATCACTCAGGTACCCCATTCTCCTACCTGCCTTCCCTCCAGTGACCCTCAGTTTGTTTCCTATGATTAAGAGTCTCTTATGGTTTGTCTCCGTCTCTGATTTTGTCTTGTTTTCAAATAAATAAATAAAATCTTAAAAAAAGGTGCTCATTATTATTACTAAATAAAGTTACAACCAAATTCTGTGATAAAAGAACTATTAAGGACACTTAATTCCTTAAGTTTATGTCATTCATAGCAGATTATATGATTATTTACATTAAAAATTGAGCAAAGATACCTATTAGAACTAAGAAGACTAGAACCTGAAAAGGTGTCTATATACAAAATCAATGTTTAAAAAACCAGAAGCCTTCCTATATACCCGTAATAACCCATTAGAAAATAAGCATGCTAAAGCAACCCAAACTGTAAAGAATCAAGGCATTGACCTAAAAACTAAATATGACCTTCATGAAAAAAATTCAAAAGAACATTAAAAAGAGACCCGAGTAAATGGAGATATATACAATATTTACAAAAGGAAAGGTTTTAATGTTGTAAAGATGTTAATTCTCTCTAAAATGATTTATAATTTTAATGCAATTACCGATTTTAGATAGAACTGGAACTAATCTGGGCAGCCCCGGTGGCGCAGCAGTTTAGCGCTGCCTGCAGCCGAGGGTGTGATCCTGGAGACCCTGGATTGAGTCCCACGTCAGGCTCTCTGCATGGTGCCTGCTTCTCCCTCTCTGCCTCTCTCTCTGTGTGTGTCTCTATGAGTAAATAAATAAATAATATTAAAAAAAAAAAAACTGGAGCTAATCCTAAATTTACACAGAAGAAGGAAAAGTCTGCCAATGACTAGCACAATTCTCCCAAAGAAGAGTAGAGGGAATAAATTTATACCACCTGATACTAAGATACGTTGCAAAGCCCTAATATTTTAAGCACACTATAACTGTTAAATCCTGGGGTACTGTTGCTAGAACAGAGAAATATAATGAGTATAGACACAGACTCATATGCCAGTTATGCCCATGGCATTTGATATATGATAAAATTGGTATGCATACTGAGGGAAGATGAATTACTTAATAAATAGTATTAGGGAAATTGGTTCATTTGAATGATACAACAACAACTTGAATCTTACCAACACACAGAGAAACTCAGACCTGGACAGGCAAGGTATAACCAGAAAATTATTAGGAGAAAACATAGGAAAATAATTTTATGATATTGGGGTTAGAGAGGGTTCTGTAGACAAGATGCAGAAAGCACAACTAGTAAAGGGAAAATATAACAGATCTATCTACATTAAAGATTTCTGTTCAACAAAAGACATTAGTAAGAGCTAACAATCTGAGATTTTTTTTTCAATGTATATAGAAAACAAAGAAAGGACTGATATTTAAAATTTACTAAGAAATTTTGGAAGTCAACCAGGAGAGGCAGTTCACAAAATTAGAAATCAAAATGTCTCATAAGCATATTAAGATATTTTAAATCCTTTTAGTGATCTGATAATGCAAATTCAAACAATAATAATGTACTACTTTATGCCCCTCAGATTTGCAGAAAATTAAAAAGTGGTATGATACTAATTTTTTTTAAAGATTTTATTTATTCACAAGAGACACAGAGAGGCAGAGACACAGGCAGAGGGAGAAACAGGCTCCATGCAGGGAGCCCGACGTGGGACTTGATCCTGGGACTCCAGGATCACGCCCTGGGCCAAAGGCAGGCTCTAAACCACTGAGCCACCCAGGGATCCCAGAGTTACATGCTTTTTTTTTTTTTTTTAAAGATTTTATTTATTCATGAGAGACAGACAGAAAGAGAGAGAGAGAGAGAGAAAGAGAGGCAGAGACACAGGCAAAGGGAGAAGCAGGCTCCATGCAGGGAGTTCCATGCGGGACTTGATCCCAGGTCTCCAGGATCTGGCCCTGGGCTGAAGGCACCGCTAAACCACTGAGTCACCTGGGCTGCCCATGATATTAATTTTTGTTGTAGGGAAATATGATCTACTGATGGAAATATAAACTTTAGCAATTTTGTATAATATTTTGGAAGTATTTAATCACAAGTATATTATGTGTATATATAACTCAACTCACCCACACACCCGCAAAGAAACCCAAAACAAACCCAACACCTCAACACGTACAAGAATGTTCTGGTAGCCTTGTACATAAAACAAATACTTAGAAATGCAGAAATCACTCACTCTGATATTTAACTGAATTGACTTCAGAAATGTGACAGTTTCCTGCCTTATATGGTAAAAGTCTTTAAGGACAAGAACCATAGTTTATTTATCCTCATATTCCTGAGCACATGGCTTAATAGTAGATATTCCATAGCTATTTGTTAAATTGGAGAGTAGTGAAATAGAAATTGTTAAGGAGTTGCAGAGTCCACGGACTGTTTTAGAAAAATTTAGCAACATTACATCTACTGTCCATGGTTATAGTCACACAATTTAGCTGGCAAACAGGGATTAAAAATCACTCATGTTTTGGTCCAGTACTCTCCAACCTGTCATTTTCTCTCCTCAGATGTCTAGTATAACATTTTGTGGGGAAAAAAAAATAGAGTACATTTTAACTTTTTCTAAAGAAAAAATGTTGAATCTTAGATAAGAATTTTGTCTCATTTTTTTTAAAAGATCTTATTTATTTATTCATGAGAGACACACAGAGAGAGACAGAGACACAGGCAGAGGAAGAAGCAGGCTCCATGCAGGGAGCCCGATGTGGGACTCCATCCCAGGTCTCCAGGACCACGCCCTGGACCGAAGGCAGGCACGAAACCACTGAGCCATCCAGGGATCCCTGTATCCTCAAATTTTAGTCTTTCATGTATCACCTACCCAACTTTTTTCATGTGCATGTATCATTATTTGTTTCATATTTTTCTTCAAATCAATTTGCTATTTTCTTAAAAAAAGTTTTGTCCTAAGAAAAGATATTCATGAATCAGATTTGATGTGACAATTAACATATAGTTTATAAACATGAACCATGAAAATAAAACTTGTGCCACATACAATTATTTTTATATGTTGTGCAGTTTATGAGTCTGGATTAGATGACCTCTGAGGTCCCTCCCAGACAGACTAACATTCTGTCATTCTAGGTTAATTCCTCTGCCTCAGTATTTTAATTCTTCAGTAAAGGACAATGAATCAATGACATAAGGAAACTTCACTATAATCTTGTGACCATAAAGAAGTATTTATTAAGATCTATGCCATGATATTCTGCTTCCTAAAATTCAAGATAGATACGCTGAAATATATAAATTCAGTACAACCAAACTGCTGTTAGACAGGAACATGTAAAATATTTATAGGGCATAGAACGAGTGATGTGGTATATGGTGTGAAGGAAGTAACTTAACAGTTTGGAGGATAGAAGTAAAGAAAATATATTTATCCTCACTCTGTTAATTGGGAAAACTTGAATCTTATAAGACTTTCTGGAGACTCAAATGAGGTGCAGAAGATTTCCAAAGATGAAGGTAATCAACCATAGATTTTGTTTGAGGAATATGTTTTAGAAACATGAATAATGCCATAAAAAGAAGAGGTAATCCTAAATAAAATGAACAGGGTAGACAGGAAAAGAGAATTTAATATTTTCAAACTTTAGTCAATTCAAATTCAGAGCAGAATGGTGAATGACCTTTCAACAGAGGATTAAATAAGGAAAAAAAAAATACCCACCAGAAATTACATTTGATGGATATGATTCCAATTCCTGCTCTCAGGTTATTCTGAAAAAAAGGGCAAACAAAGTTATCAGTTATTTCAACTATGTTTTTTGATAGTGGACACTATCTGGGTAAGATTAAAAAACTAGAAAACTTTGAGTTTTCATTCAAAACATACTTTTCATTACATTTCTCAGAGTCTAAGTCATTCAGCTCAATATTTATAGCAAGACAAAAGACTATCCAAGTTTTATTTGGCTTTTTAAGACCAAAAATAACATTTATAAGTAACAAATTCCTTTAAAAAAAAAAACTAAATAGGGCACCTAGGCAGCTCAGTGTTTGAGCATCTGCTCAGGTCGTGATCCCGGGGTCCTGGGATCAGTCCCACATTGGGCTCCCCACAGGGAGCCTGCTTCTTCCTCTGCCTCTCAATCTGTGTCTCTCATGAATAAATAAAATCTTAAAAAAAAAAGAAACTTAAAAAGTTTAAAAAAACACTGTAAATAATCACCCTTCTTAAACTGTGGGAATACTACTAGTAGATAATATTCCTATGTAGCAATGTGAAAAAATTGTTTCATTTTTTAAAAGATCTTATTTTTAAGTAATCTCTATATCCAACATGGGGCTTGAACTCACAACCCTGAGATCAAGAGTCTCATGCTCTAATTGAGCCAGCAAGGAGCCCCCACAAAATTTCCCTTTTAGGATGGAGAAATAGCTTGTCATAAATGTGATTTATTTTAGGTTTGGGTAGTTACCAATTTAACACCAAGATTACTAGGGAGAATGAACTTAAGAAAGTTGTGGTGATTAATGCTTTAATACGGGAAGTTTTTATCCAGAAAATTATTTTTTTGATTGCTGGTATGAAGTAGCTTCAAACAACGGTCTTAAAATTTTTAGTTTTTAAAAATTGAAGCTTGACAAATTGAAGCTTCTCATATAAATTAATGTAAATTACATGACTTTTAGCTTTATGAATTTATATTTTACAACCCAAATGTACACATTTCTTTCTCTTAGATTTGAATGTTCTCTTAAAAGATTAATTTATGGAAAGCTAAACCAATACAAGGAGTTATATGTAGGTTAATAATCTAAATGTCATGAACAAAAACTCTTGTAGATACTCTATCTTCAGTCATCAACACTGAAAGTTGTAGGCAAAGGAATATGTATCCTCAAATTTCATCTCAATTTGAGGGAATGAGACTGTGTTAATTATAGGATAAACCTGACCAACCAAATTTGTTTCTCCATTGGGATTAATGTTTGGTCTTAACCATTTGTTTTGACTTAAATTCTTAACAAGTATTGATTTTTTGGTAAAGCAATCTGCTTCCCAAGAGGATTGTGGTCATTTGATTTTTATTAGCTTTTTCAAATTTGTATAAGCCATAGTGCTTTTTAGGCATTAAAATTCCATTAAAAATGAATCTTAGTAACTTGGGAAACATATATTAAACTTCTTGCAAAAGGTAGTAATACTGACAAAACAAGCAAGGTAAGGTTAATGGTAAAGTGCCCGGAATTAATACAATGCTTTGCAAATCAGATTTTAAAATTAGGAATAGTGTTAGTATTGAAAAAAAACCCCACCACCTTACATATACTACACCTGCCAACAACTCAGTAATCACCTAACAATAATAGGCCATGGGCCATGTGAAATGGAGAAACTAGTTAATATGTGAGGACACACATTCAGGAAATCTTAGGGGACTTAAAACGGCATAACTAGAAAATTTACAAGCAGGAAGAGAGGCTTTTGAGTAGTGCACAACCACTTTCAAATTTTGGAGTACAGGGGAAATGTGGAATTTTGTTAAGTAATAATTTATTGTGAGGTGAAGATAAAAAAAAGGAAAGTCCTAACACTACTGCCAAGAATTCTATTGTAGTGCTAATAAACATCACTATCAGTTATGTATTCTCAGACTTGAACTGTAGTTCAAGTCACAAGAGTTCAGTGGAAATGTTTGTTTTTGAAGGGGAAAAAACCCAGAAGCAGTTAGAAAAATCTTTTTAGGTAGGGTTGTTTTTTCAAAGTTCTTTAAGCTAAAAATATAAACTATCTACCCAAGCAATTTATGGGTGTCATTGACTTATTTGAAAGTTGAGCCAAAGCAAAAAGGTTTTTATTGGACAAACTGTCTGTGGAAATGGCCTCAAGAAGCAGATTTACCAAAAAGTACAAAATTATATGGTTGTAAAACTTGGATTAATATCTTGAGGTTTCATTAGTCATTTTGATTACTAATGTGATCAAATGTAAAGCAATATAGAATTGAAAAACAAACCCACGAAGGCATTACTGTTTCCTAAAAATAAAATTCTTCAAAGTGGACGTATATAAAAAAGACATAAAAACAGAATTACCAAGAAGGTAGCAGAACAGCTAGGTTAAGTAGTCATGAAAAACATCCCAAGGATAAAGCTTAGATTTTAATGTAACATGATGAAATGGAAACATTATTAGACTGGAAGCCAAATAACTTAGATTCCACTCCTGTCTGCTACAACTGGTTTTGTGACCTTGGCCTATTTCTACAAGAAACTTTAGCGGACTAGAATGTTTAGACCAGTTGATTTCTAAGGTTCTCTTCCAGATTAAACCACTCTAAGTCTCCACAGAAACATTTCTATCAGGTAGCTCTATCTGGAATGTTCCAATCAGATGAGTTTCTAGGAATAAAATTATGCACATATGACAATAGTAGAGCTAAAAATGATCGGAAAAAACTTGTTGCTGTCACCATTTTCAAAATAGACTAAATTTCCATGGTTCTGGGAGTGGGGAAACCATAGGTTGTAAATGGATCTCTTCAACTAAATCAGTATTCCTGAACAATACTGTTAGCAGCAGTGTTTATTAGAGTACGATAGACAAAATCGTATCTTTGTGATATTTTAAGAAGCTACTATTGAATTGTGATTATGTCTGTTTCTCCTATCCCCCAATCCATATACGTTGAAGTCCTGAGCCCCAGTACCTCCAAATATGACCATAGTTGGGGACAGGGTCTTTACTAGGTTAAAATATGGTCATTGGATTAGCCCTAATCCAGTATGAGTGGTGACCTTATAAAAAGGGGAGTTAGACTTGCATACAGAGTGAATGTGAATGAAGACAGCCATCAACTAGACAAAGAAAAGCTAGAACATTTTATCTCCCATATCTTCCTAATGCTATATTAATAGTAGGTTTTCTCAGTCAATAAATGATTTGACATCAGCAGTTTGGGCTCACTTTGCATAACTGAAAATGAATTGTGAAAAGGTTATGAAATTTTACTTTTTATTGTCTAACCCCTTACGTGTTCCTCCTCATTCCCATCTTAAATCATTTAATTTGTAGATAGGGGCTAAAATGAGAATTAAAAACATAAAAAAAAAAAAAAAGACTGCCAAGAAAACTGGATCTTCCCTTCCTACTATAACACTTGCCTCCTAGTGTTATTAAAAGAATTATGCAGGTGGAGAGTCCACTGTTTTAGGGGTAATTCCTGATGGGGAATATCAAGAGGAGCGTCTGGGTTCTTATTAATAGGAATATCAGAGGACTTAATTGTATGGTATGTTGCATTTACCATATGTTGTATGGTATGTTGATCGCGCAGTAATGGATTCATACGTGAAAAACTGAGTTTGTCTTGAGTTTAAAAAAGTTAATAGCACCCATGGTTATGGAAGGAAAAATATAGTCTAGTTTCTTTAGTACATGTTTTCCATCAATTCTTGAAATCAAAGCTTATGTAAGAAACAAGACAACAGACAACAAGACTGGTTAAAACTACCATACACTGAAAATACCACATTCACATACCCTTGTATACTGAAAAAAATGTAGCAATGCCAAGAAAATTGGACAATTAAAAAAATCTTGTTAAAAGCAATTCTCATGATTTGTGTTCAAAATCATCCATTTAACATATCCAAAAAATTTTATTATTTTACATTAACATTGTGGCAGTTAAAGAAAATAATCAAGTTGTCTCATGGACTGGAAGGTGACTTATTAATTCCCTCTCATTTCCAAACCTCATCAAGCAGTCACTACATTTATGAGGTAAGTCAGCTGAATGCTTGAAATCCAGATGAATTTTAAGATCTTCAATTTGTCCTGTTGAATATTCACAGTATTGACATAAATAAATCCCTTCAGATAAATGTGAATTTAAATGTTTGCAATATTCTAGCATACTTGAAAAGCCTTTCCCACAGTCATCACAAACATGAGGAAAAATTTTAGTATGTTCAATAGCAACATGCCTGTTAACATTTGTATGAAGTCTACTCCGAAAACCACATACTTGACACACAAAGAAGTTTTTACATTTGTCAAAGGTAATTTTGCTTAACAGGCTGTACTGTCCATGTGCTCCATTGTTATACTTATCACTTAACTCAATTAATTTACATGCATGTTCATTTACCACATGGCTATGCAAGTCTTCCGGATCATTCGTTTCATGTTCACAAAACTGACACAAGTACTGTTCGTCACAGCTGTGCTCCTGGAAATGTAGGTAGAGTTCACTGCTTGATGAGAACTGTACATCACACTGCTCACACCAGTAGAGGTGGTCACTAAAATGGGTGTCTGCAATGTGCTGGCTGAGGTTCTCAAAAATTACTGTTTTATAATCACAGTATTTACAAATGTAGGGATCCTCTTCATGCAGTTTGGCATGTTCGATCAAAAGCATGTTAGTAGAAAAACTCTCCTTGCATACTCGACACACATTTGAATCAGTACGCTTATGCTTCAGGATCAGATGCTGCTTTAAATCAGAAAAATATTTGCTGTTGAACTCACAAAGTTCACACTTATAGAGGCCACTGCTATTAGCTCTCAGTAAAGGCCATTTCTGTTGGGCAGTCACATTCAAAGCCTGGCTCTTATCTAGAATTTTGCAAAGTTTAGCTGGTGGCTCTTCATCAGTTTGGTCTTGGAGACTCTCCGAGGAATTGTTTTCGGTCTCTAGATCATAATCTTCAGAAATTGCATGCACTTCTGCAGCAATTGGAACATCTTCAGCAGTGTGAACTTCTATAGGACTCTCCTCTTGAGCTTGTTGGTTGACTGACTCAGGTGAGTCACACTCTTCATCACAAATTTCAATATCAGCAGATTTTTCTGAAAAATGTAACAAGTCTATTATTACTAAATAAGACCTATTGAATAACTGGCAAAACATTTATTTTACACATTATTTTTTCATGAATCTACATAAAATAAGCAAATGCTATTAACTGGTTTCCCTAACCTGTAGAAAAGGCAGTGTGGTCTAGAATTCTAAGTACAGGGCTGGGAACCAGGTAGTTCTGATTTCTACTTCTGGCCTTGATCCCATCTGTAAATTTTGGCAAGTCATTTGATGTTTCTGCATCAGAATCATCATCTGTAAAAAGAAATTTGGAAAAATACTTATTATTTATATCAAAGCATTAACTATTAATTATTATTAAACAAAGCACTAAATGTTTTAAATATAATTTTGAATTCCAATAGGAACTAAAGGACTTAGATTTAGTCAGAAAATGGATGTTATCCTTGTACCACAGTCACACACAAAGAAATCTGTCCAAATAATCAACTGCTTTTGCTTCCATGCCCCATTTGGACTAGAATATACTTTGTAAAATTACTTAGGAATTTTAAGTTTAAATTACTAAGTCTGAATTAGAGTGTATTCCCTCAGCCCAGTCCCAATGTTAAATTTAGCATGGGGAAACTGAAGTACAGGTCATAAAAAACTGGGCTGCAAATCATGTCACTGCTGTTTTTAATAGATTTATTTTTTAGGGGAATCCCTGGGTGGCTCAGCGGTTTAGCGCCTGCCTTCAGCCTAGGGCGTGATCCTAGAGTCCCGGTATCGAGTCCCACATCAGGTTCCCTGTATGGAGCCTGCTTTTTCCTCTGCCTGTGTCTCTGCCTCTCTCTCTCTCTCTCTCTGTAAAAAATAAAATCTTAAAAAAAAAAAAAAAAAAAAGATTTTTTAGAAGTTCCCAGAAAAAATTTGGATAGTACAGAGAATTCTCATATATCCTGCATTCTGTTTCTCCATTTTTTTTTTCTTTTAAGATTTTATTTATTTATTCATGAGAGACACAGAGAGAGAGAGAGAGGGAGAGACACAGGCAGAGGGAGAAACAGGCTCCACGCTGGGAACCCAATGTGGGACTCGATCTCGGGTCTCCCCTGGGCTGAAGGTAGCGCTAAACTGCTAGGCCGCCCAGGCTGCCCAGTTTCTCCATTCTCTTATAACAATAGGGTACATTTGTTCCAATCAATATCCAATACTGGTAAGGTGATATCAACTCAAGTCCACACTTAAGCTGATTTCCTTAGTTTTTACCTAATGTTCTTTTCCTGTTTCAAGATCCTAAAATTCCACATTACATTTAGCTATCATCTCCCTCTAGGATACTGTTAGTTGTGGCAGTTTCTCTGACTTTCCTTGTTTTTGATGACCATGATAGTTTTGAGGAGTATAGGAGTATTTTGCAGGGTGTCCCATTAATGAAATGTTTTTTTCATGATTAGACTGGGATTGTGGATTAACAGAGGTAGACCAGAGAGGCAAACTGCCATCACAACAGTCAGGTTTCTCTGATGTAAAGTCACTCTTTTACTTTCCGTATTCCCTGCATACGGGGAAGGAAGTCCCAGTATACAATCCTCATTTAAGGAGTGGAGAGTTATGTTCTACCTCCTTGAGGGAGGAGTACCCACATAAATAATTTGGAATTCTTCTGTAGATTTTCTTGTTTATTCATTCATTCAATCACATCAGTATGGACTCAAGAATATATATTTTATGCTTTGGGTGATAATTCTTTTTTATCTCCCTCAAATTGTTTCAGCTTTGGCTACTGGGATCTCTCTTAGTTGGCTCCTGTGTTCCTTTGGTATACCTGTATCTTATATATATTTCCTGCCTCAGAATTAGAATCAGCCACTTCTCTAAGTAATAGTTCTTTTTACTGGAGAATGGTTTTAGAAATCAAAATCTGGGCTCACTCCTACTGGGGTGTCATTTCTTTTAGGCTTTCTAAGCTAACAGAGTAAAAATGCATATACATTGCTATGTACGCACAGACATCTATAAATGTCTCTATATGCAACCATCTGTGTCTCTATTAAGCCAAACATGAGTTTATGCAAATGTCTCCAACTCCTTTTTTTTTTTTTAATTGTGTTTCTGTGCCTATGATAGGAGCTCAAGGAAATTGGCAGTTTTGATGGTCACAAAGAAAGAATAAATGCAAGTTGTTATCATTTATTCAATGCTCTTGAAAAGAGTCAATACAAGATGCAAGACTGAAAAACATCAAACCCTTCATCCTTTGTTCCTTCCATTTAGCCCTCTGGACTATACCTTAGTGGAATAACTGTGTATAGCACTGTTCCTAACCTTTCATCATAAATATGCTCCCAACTCCAGGTCAGTCTTGATTTTCTACTTATTCCTGGCCACCTAAAATAGACTTAGGAGACTGTGCTTTTTTATTTATAGGTCTAAAATAATGTTAAAAATTAAACATTCATATTTGCTTTCTTATAAAAACCTCATTTCCCTACATTTAGACAAATTTGAATACTTGCCCATTTAGAAGTCATAACTTTTACCCACATTCTCAAGAACATAAAAATACAACTTAAAGGATATTTTGGAAAATATTATATATACCTTTGTTGTCAAAATATTTTAAGTCTGGTTGTCTCATAGAACAAACACTATAACAATGATCAGAAAAAATTCCATTGAATCCATCTGCAATCCTGCTTATTCCAGAGGAATCTGAAAATAAGAGCAAAATTTTAAAACTTTCAAGTAAATATATATACATTTAATAACAGCCATCCCTTAACATATACACTTTCAAATTTGTAATAAAGTATTAATATTTCCCTCAATTCTGAAAGCTTCTATATTTCAGATCTGATATTGACATTGAGCTTTGAAAAAACCACAAACTACACGATTTACAAAATAGCACTTGAAGCACACAAAGATAGATTTGCCCGTCAGAATTCTGTAAGTTATAAACATTGAATTAAGTACCAAGAAGATCTGCCATGTACTAAAGAGAAAGCAAAAGGCATACAGACCCTCTCAGACAGTAAACCAGGCTTAATGGCTTAATTTCCTCAGATACGAAGAATGTATAGCTTGGGTAGGCTAACAGGTATGCCAGAGACTGTCTTAAATATATATATATATATATATATATATATATATATATATATATATATATGTGAGATTAGTTATAGGTGGCCACTAGACCTTTTTTCACTAACATATACTTTATTTTCTTTTTAAAAAATTTATTTAAAATCAATTAACATATAGTATATTATTAGTTTCAGAGGAAGAATTCAGTGATTCATCAGTTTTATATAACACCCAGTATTCATTACATCATGTGCCCTCCTTAATGTATATCACCCAAGTTACCCCATCCCCGCCCCTCCTCCCCTCCAACAACCCTGTTTGTTTCCTGTGATTGAGTCTCTTAAATCTCTGATTTCGTCTTGTTTTATTTTTCCCTCTCTTCCCCTATACTCCTGTTTTGTTTCTTAAATTCCACATATGAGTGAAGTCAAAGACCTTTCTTACTGCCAAGATAGCAGGGCCAACCTCAACCAGAGGACCCAAAGGAACACGATAAAAATAAAGTTCATATTTCTGAAAATAATGTACAGGATTAAAAAAAAAATTTCCCCAATAATCCAAATATCTTCCATCAAGGTTAATGCTATACATTAAGAACAAGCTTGGAATTACACAAATCCCAATTATGCTGTGTAAGTGTGGAACTTTGGATAACTAATTTTAAGTATCTTTCATCCATTAAGTTGTAAGTAAGTATTAAATAATGTCTGTAAAGTTCTGATGTGTGCCTAGCACATGGTAGACAGATGAATATACATTCAGAGAACTTGAAGTTTTCTCTTACCTAAAAATTGACCCAGATATTTAACTGTTATCTGATCATTTATGAGAAAATGGATAAAAATGCAATTGCATGGGAATTAATCCAGGGTCCAACTTTAAAATAATCACTGACCTGAGTAACGAGAAGGGTGTAATGTCTTCCTTTTTCTTTTTTTAGGATATTCATTCATATCTTTTCAATCTAAAAATGGAAAAATTTAACAAAAATACCACAAAGATTGTTAATATTTTATAGAAATTCATTCTAAACAAAGAATTTATTGGTAATAAGAAATGTGTGTGCCACTTGAAAATCTACTTTGTAAGAGAAATGCCTCCATTTATATTTTGGATTTATTTTTTCTGATCAAGTTTAAAGGCAGGACACCAGGGATCCCTGGGTGGTGCAGCGGTTTGGCGCCTGCCTTTGGCCCAGGGCGCGATCCTGGAGACCCGGGATCGAATCCCACATCGGGCTCCCGGTGCATGGAGCCTGCTTCTCCCTCTGCCTGTGTCTCTGCCTCTCTCTCTTTCTCTGTGACTATCATAAATAAATAAAAATTTAAAAAAATTAAAAAAAAAAAAATTAAAGGCAGGACACCAAAATCTGTTTTTTTTCTTGGTGAGGTTGAGAAGTCCACTTCAGATGTTGATGTAATTGTGAGAACTGGATAATTACACTAAGCTATACTCTTATTTTTTATTTTAAAAAATTGCTGCTATGGCATCTTTTTAAGAATAAAACAAGTACATTTCTTATAACTGGGAGTATTTTGATGCAGTTTTCAAGCTAAAGGTGTATATATTTCCTTAAAAAATATTGTCACAAATCTGTATCTATCCCCAGACTTCCAGAAAATATATTCATCATGTAGAAGCTCAGAATATAATTTCCAAGAAAAAAAATATTTTTCTTACTTGTAAGGTCATATTCAACATTCTATTTAGGACAAAGCAGGTAGCAACTTTTGTTTAATTTTTAAATGATTAGATTCCCATGGACTCTTATAAAATTGGCTAATTGGTTTTCCACATTCCACTTACATGGTATAATTCTTAATACTGTAGGGAGGAGAAATGAATTACAAGGAAGTTTTCACAGATGGTAGAAAAATGCCTGTAAAAAAAAAAACACGACAGAAGTCATACAAGCAAAAATGTAGTTCACTTCTGAGACTCAAAAATACAATGGCACCAGGTCTTTAATTAACTGCAAAGTTACACGGAATTAACTCAAGTATAATCTTTTGAATGTACTGTATTAAGCACTAAAAACTGATAACTATGTGAGTGTATACATGTGTCATTGTTCTTTGAAATGAATTTACTTTCTAAAGCTTAAGCTATAATTTAACAGCAAAATAGGAATATAAATCTGATTCATTTATTCAGCCATAATGAAAGCAAATACAATGAAAGTGAACCAAATCAGACTTTATACTAAGTCCTTATAGATTATTTAACAATATAAGAACAAAAAACAAAAAAACAATATAAGAACAATGACCATTTATTTAACACCTATCATGTGCCAGGCTGTGCACATACTTTATCTTATTTAATCCTATAACATGAAAAATATACAATATCCTCTCAAAATTATTTACCTTTTACGGATGAGGAAACTGAGGCATAGTAAAATTAAGTCAAGGCAATTCTTAATAAGTGGTAGGGTTAGAATTGAATAAAGATCTATTTTTAAAGCATATACTTTGGAAACAAAAAGGGAGATAAAGAGATTACTCCAATTCAAGTAACAACTTAGTGTCAGAATCAGCATCTCCTCTTCCATTTCAGGCTAGTAGTGTTCTTTCACAGAAGTGGGCAAGTAAGGGATGTCAGAAAAAGAAACCTGTTTTCTCCACTAGCATTATATGCTGCTTTTCTTACTGTCAAAGTAATATACATGGCAGGTATAACTCGGTGTCATTACTGAGCTCATCTTGTTTTTAATGGTAAGGAACTTCAGGTGCACACACTGTTTTTGCTACTTCACTAAGTTCTGGCTATATTAATTAGCACTGTAGGTGATGTGATCATGCAGTAATAAGATAGTGCTTTTTAGTTTATTGGGCATTTTCCTCTTATTTTATTTGATCTTCACAACAATCCTGTGAGGTACATTGAGGGGCTACTATCAAACTCACTCCAATTTCACTGATGAGGAAGCAGATTCAGTGAAAGTCCAGTCAACTAAGCAGCAGAACAGAACTGAAAAAGCCTGTCTTCTGACTCGAGTTTCAAACAACTCTGTGTAATTTTCATTGCTAATCACTATTACCAGCAAGTTACATCTTCCAGTTCTTATTCCACCACCAATTGGGAGAAAGGGAAGGGAATCACCCAAAGAAACCAACAACAGTGGATTTATAGAAATAGTCTCTCTCTATATAAAGGCTCACCTGAACACAAATAGCATTCCTTGAACCCTTCCCAATCAAGTGCATTAAAAGAATAAAAATTTTCTTATTATATAATAAACTAAAACTTCAAGACTTATTCCTAATACCTCTTCTGCACACCTCTAGAATTTATACAGCCCAGAGCACTACACTTCATGTTTTAAATGTTCTAAAACTATCAGGGAGAACAATGAAAACTGTCAGCCAAACATTAAGGTAACCTCTTGCTATTTCAGAATACACTTTAAATTCTTTCCAACTCGAAGAATGAAAAAGTAAGGAAAGGAAAGCAAGTATGGCATTAGAATTAACATTGCAAGCTGGCCTGGATTCAGACTGTCAGATGAGAGGAACAGGATCACCTTGATCAGGGAAGCTCGGACTACGACGTGAGGCTGAACAATATCCAAATATTTATCAGACTTCCTTTTAGCATGAATGCTAACATGCCTACTCAAGACCAGAAATACTATCGTTCATTTCAGCACACATTCTTACGTGCTTTTTGTATACATAGCTGCCCTGATGAAGAAGTTTGGCTTTTTACTAAAAGGTGTCATATGAACATTTGCTCACTGGTCTTCCTCTCATGGGGAAGATTCTGAATCTCATGGACCTAATCATTCACCTCCTTTTCCCCACTTAATAAATTCCACATATAAGTCCTCGCTTTGGCAGCACATATAATAAATTACACATAGAATACATGTCACTGCAGGAAAATTAGGAAAGAGGTTAGAAAGTAATTTAATCACCTCGAATCTATTCACGCAGAAAAACCACTGCTAACATTTTGATAGACAACTAGACAGTTTCCTATGCTAAGGTATCCATATATATTTCACATTTACAAAAATGACATCAGGGATCCCTGGGTGGCGCAGCGGTTTGGCGCCTGCCTTTGGCCCAGGGCGCGATCCTGGAGACCCGGGATCGAATCCCACGTCAGGCTCCCGGTGCATGGAGCCTGCTTCTCCCTCTGCCTATGTCTCTGCCTCTCTCTCTCTCTGTGTGACTATCATAAATAAATAAATTAAAAAATTAAAAAAAAAAGAATTTAAAAAAAAATTTAAAAAAAAAAACAAAAATGACATCATGCCACATGCAGTACTACTTTTTTTTTTCAAAAAGCAACTTACAAAATACATATTGGCATCTCTCCACCTGTCATTTTCCCCCCCAACAACGTGCAAAATGCCACAAAACAGGCAGTCAGTATCTTCATCAAAGAGATCAACAGCCTTTCACGTAATACAAATATTCTCTAAGTGGCACAAAAATAAACCAAGTATTTACAATCAAAAGCTTCATCTTTCCAATAAGGTTTTTAAAGCAAGTCCTTTTTCACCCTCATTTCAAGAGAAGTATATACTCGCCGGAGTTTAAAATAACAGAAACATGGGCAGCCCGGGAGGCTCAGCGGTTTAGCGCCACCTTCGGCCCAGAGCGTGACCCTGGAGACCCAGGGTCGAGTCCCACGTCGGGCTCCCTGCAGGGATCTCTGCCTCTCTCTCTCCTCTGTGTATTCTCATGCATAAATAAATACAATGTTTAAAAAAATAACAAACACAAAAACGTTTCAGGTCTTGAACTAGAGCCCACGGTACGTCCGACTCCAATGTCAGCATTGCCAAAGGACACGTTTTTTTACCTCTCTGCAATGAGATGAACTGCTTCAAACTACTCGCGTCCCTAGGTTGTACTGAAAAAAGAAAAGAAAAGAAAAGAAAAAAACCCCAGAAGGGGCGTCTGAGCACCGCGAGGAGGGGCCCAGGGCACCGGCCGGGGCCAGCCGGGCACCCGCGGTCCCGAGCCCAGGCGCCGCGGGCCGCCGAGGGGCGGCCGGGCAGGAGCCGCCGGCCACGCGCCGGGCCCACGGGCCGCCTAGGCGACCGCAAAGGAGCCAGCAGGAGGGCAGCGGGCGGAGGCCCGAGGCGTCCTCCGCGTGCGCGCGCGTGCGGGGAGCGGGTCGCGGCTGCCTCGGCTGGCGGGGCGCCGCCATCCCGCCCGAAAACGGAGCCAGGGTTTCATTTTAAAGGACGCCGTCGGGCCTGCCCTGGCCTCTCCCGCGGGAGGCTGCGCCCGCACACTCCCTGCGACCGCGGGGCCCGCCCGGCCCGCCCAGGCGCAGCTCCCGGCGGCCGCAGCGGCAGCGGCAGCGGCGGCGGCGGCGGCGCCCGAGCGTGGGCGGAGGGGCCGCCGGGCCCTCGCGCTGCCGGGCGCTCCCGGGCGCTCCCGGGCGGCCCCCGTCCCTCCGCGCGCCTCTCGCCCTCCCCGCCAGGCCCCAGACCCAGGCTCGCCGGCCGCACTCACCGCCTCGCTCCGCGCCTGCGCCGCGCACCTCAGGGGCCCGCCGACTGGGCGGGGAGGGGACGGGGGCGGGGGGCCGGAGCGGCGGCGCGGCCACGCCGCACAGCGGACCTGGGAGGGACCACGGGCTGGAGCCCCGGGGGTGGTCGGCGGCCTGCGCCCCCTGCCGGCGCCCGTGCGCCGCCGCGGGCTTCTTCCGGGCGGGGTCCCGTCCCTCCGGAGCCCAGCGGGTGACTCCACTTCCTAGAACCGCTCCGGGCGAGGCCGCCGACGGAACTCCCCCCGCCCCCGCCCCCGCCCTGCCTCCCGCCGCCCGAGGAGCCGGACTAGCGCTGCAGCTCGCGGCCCCTTTCCCACCCGGCTGCTCCTCCAGGGGGCGCGCGACAGTGGCCTTGCACGGGGGAGGCCCGGCCGAGGGCAGCTCCGCCCGCAGAGTGGCAGCTGCCTGCCGGGCACGGAAAGGCGACGGCGGGTTCAGGGTTTTCCCCGAGGCGCCACCAAAGAACGACGCTGGGCTGCGAGTGCCGTGCCCAAGGGCAGGAGGCTGGAAAGCTTGAGGATCGCGAGTCATTATTAGGGCTTCCTTGGTTCCAGGAATCCCGGTGGAATGAATGTGAAATTATAGGGGATTCGGTTAGATGATTTCGTTCCTTTTCGGATTTTTGAGCTCCTATGAGCCGATGTGGAGAGGATTAAATTGAACAAGCATACGCGAGCCTGTGAACACGGTTTCAGAAATGAAGATACCTGTAGAAGTGTGGTCATATGTTTGATCTCTGATAGTGAATTGAAGTTGTCAGTCCCAGTTAACACATTAGAAAAGCGAGGGTCTAAAGACTAGATCTTTTTTTAAGATTTTATTTATTTATCCACAAGAGACACAGAGAAAGAGAGAGGCAGAGACACAGGCAGAGGGAGAAGCAGGCTCCATGCAGGGAGCCCCACGTGGGGCTCGATCCCGGGTCTCCAGGATCACGCCCTGGGCTGAAGGCGGAGCTAAACCGCCTAGGTCTTACTCTTCTTTGTACCCTCAGCGCCCGGGTTCAAATAATTGTTAAGTAGATGAAGGAGGCCCATGCGGGTTATCACGTGCTCAAGGTCACTTTGAGAGTAGGGGCTGCAATCGATGTCTTTTCATCCACATCCGCGGTGCCTTTTCTGATCACCAGCCAACCACACCCTGGAGAGCAATAATCACAGACCTTACTCCCATACCTTCACCTCTAGCCCAGAAGGTAAAGCCACATTTTAAAGAGACACCAATTTGCGATGCTCAGTCTTTATGACCTAAACTTCTGTGTGTGTACTCAGCCCGAAGAAGTGAATATTCACGAATGCTGGCATGGCTTGGATGAAGTACAAGAGATTTAGTGGCATTTTAAAATTCTAGTGTAGTTAGTACCTGCCACCGAATAGGGAATGGACACGTGTTTGTTGAATTTATGAAGAACTCTGCATGCTTAGCTGGTTGGGCTGTTCCCCGATGTGACACAGTGGAAGCCACAAGGGGGTGGTATGGGATCATTTTGAGTTACTGTGTTGCTCATCCGTAGCCTCCTGCCAAAATCTTTACTTTCTAGGCTGAAGTTTTATTTAAAAACATTCTGCTGTAAGAGCAAACACGCCCCCCTCCCCCAGCCCAGCACATTACTTGAATTAACAAACCAACCCACCCTATCTTCCCTTCCCAGAGAAATAAATGAGAAGAGCATCACAATGCTTACTTGTCCTTTAGCATAATCACAGGTCTGAGGCTACTTTGATTAGCTGGAGTACATTTCCCAGTTTCACTTTTGCATCTGTCTCTTCCTTTCCTTCCTTTTAAGGGACGGTGGTGGCTGCACGGATGAAACCCTAAAATCTCAAAAGAGAGTACGGAGTTGTAGAGTTTGCTATCTTCTAATATAATTTTGGCCAAAGGGGTATTGAATCATTTTTTAAAGAAAGATTGTATTTATTTATTTGAGAGGGAGAGAAAGAGTGCAAGAGCAGGAGGAAGGAGAAGCAGACTCCCCGAGGAGCAGTGAGTCCCCACCTGGGGCAGAATCCAGGATGCTGGGATTATGACCTGAGCCAAAGGCGGATGCTCAAACAACTGAGCCACCCAGGTGCTCCTTGAATCATCATTTTCTCCAACTTTTTTTTTTTTTTTAAAACCACACTTAAAAAAAATAAAAAATAAAAAAACCCCACTTATAGGGTGGCTTAATTTTTAAAAAGATTTTATTTATTTATTCATGACAGACACAGAGAGAGGCAGAGACAAAGGCAGAGGGAGAAGCAGGTTCCCTGCAGGGAGCCGGATGTGGGACTGGATCCCTGAGCGGAAGGCAGAGGCTCAACCACTGAGCCACCCAGGCATCCCTAGCTTAATTTTTTCTTAGAATAGGGATACATCTTTATCACATAATGGAGACAATATCAAAGTACAAATAGCAAAAGAAAAAGTTATAATCCTACAACCCAGAACTAACCAATGGTAGCATTTTGCCCAAGAGCTGCACATTATTTTTAAAAAATCTATATCCATTCATTCAGAATTTGTTTTAAAAATTAAAAAAAAACCAGCCCCTTAATATCGCCTGAATATATTTTATGCTATTAATGTTAATGACACCTTGGAATTCCACTATAAGCAACCATACAGTTGTTTCTATCTTTAAACCATGGTCTGCTAATTTGGTAAATAAAATATAGTATTGTATTTTAATTTGTATTTGTTTTTGTGAACTTGAACGTTTTCTCATGTGTTTGTTTATTGGTCGTTTGTATTTCCCTTAAGAATTTTCAGGGTATGTCCTTTGTTTTTTCTACAGGCTGTTAATCTTTTTAAGGAAAGCTAAAATTTTTAGCTTTTTACCTGAGATAAATGTTCCATATATTTCTTTCTAGTTTGTTTACTTTTCAGTTTTGTTAATTATATGTTTTAAATTGTGAAATCGAGTCTATTAATCACCTTATGCTGAAATAATCTTTTCTTCTAACCCAATATATGGTTGAATTTTTTACTTTAACTTTTTAGCTTATTTGTAATTTATTTTGAGGTGTGAGATAAAGAGAACCCATTCTATTTCTGTCATAATCCTTTCCCCCCCTCATTTCTATCTTGTATAACAGCCTGAAATTAAATTTGTAAGGACAGCTTCATCTGCTGCTCAATTAACTTCCTAAGGCATTGGTTTTCAAATTTAACTGCATCAGAATCACCAGCAGTTCTCTATCTGTGCACCGATCCCAGTTTCTAATTGGATAAATCTGGGCTGGAGTTGAAAAATGCTGATATTGTTGCCCCAGGATCACACTTAGAGAGTCACTATCCTAAGGCTTTCCCTGCCCAACCCTACACTAGCCAAATAGCACTTCTTACTATTCCATAGATAGGCTCTATTCTCACCTGTGTGTTTCATTCAGCATGTTTATTCCACCTGTAATTTATTTACTTTGCTTCTGTCTGTAAGATCAAGCTCTTCATCTTATCAAGATCTCTTGATAAGAGATTTATCTCTTATTTATTTGTCTCTTCTGTGAAATCTTTGATTTTTCCTGGCAGAGATCTCTGATCACTCTTTAGAGACTCCACAGTATTTTTGGTACATTGGTCTACCTATCATCAGACATGAATTTACTGTGAATGAAACAACGTATAGGCTTCAAGTCCCCTCAATTACATGAACCTTTTCTAAGATGAGGTATTTATAATCTGATATTCTTGTATAATTTTGTATTTAAATAAAATTTTGTATTTATAATTTAGTATTCTTTTTCTTACAATTTAATTCTCCCAATTCACATAAGCTTCTGTCTACCGAACTTCAAATAAGACAGGGGGTAAAATCTCCTGTATACTTGGCTTCATTCTGTTTATCATATTGTTTTTCCACAGACCTTGAATTCCAGTCTGCTCCACCTCTCTGCTTAGCAGTATCTTATATAGAACACCTTTCTTTCTTTCTTTCTTTCTTTCTTTCTTTCTTTCTTTCTTTCTTTCTTTCTTTCTTTCTTTCTTTCTTTCTTTCTTTTAAAAAGATTTTATTTATTTATTCATGAGAGACTCAGAGAGAGGCAGAGACATAGATCGAGGGAGAAGCAGGCTCCCTACAAGGAGCCTGATGTGGGACTCAATACCAGATCCTGGGATCATGCCCTGGGCCAAAGGCAGAGGCTTAACCTCTGAGCCACCCAGGCGTCCCATCATTCATTTTTAAAATAAAATATTCACTACAGGAGTGCCTAGGTGGCGCAGTTAAGTGACTGACTGTTTTGACTCAGGTTGTAGATCTCAGGTTCATGAGATTGAGCCCCAGATGGGGCTCTGTGCTCAGAGTGGAGTCTGCTTGAGACTCTCCGTGTCTCTCTTCCCGCTTGCCTCCCCCCTCAAAAAAAAAAAAAATAACTGTGTATGAATTGGGTGGGGAACAAAAAAATAAAATAAAATATTCACTGCATACGTACCTTGGGTCCAGAACTATACTAGGTAACTGGGAACACCATGTGATCAAAATAGATCTAGCCCTTGCCTTGCTGCTCCTTTTAGTAGAGTAGGGAAAATAGGCAATTAAACAGCACTTGCATGTGATTACTAAACTTATATAAAATAAGTAAAGAGTGTTACGGGAGCACATGACAAATGGCCTCACTTGGTCTAAGGAGGATGGGGCAAGTAAAGAGTATAGGTATTCAACTTGTTAAATGAATTGGTAAACTCTGTCCTGGCCACCTAGCTTGCTAACACTAGTGTGGACCTGACTGAGCAGCATACTCCTGACTCAGACATGAGGCAGCTGCATGCCATAGCTTTGAGTCAGGGACCTCACGT